ATGACAGCATCCATAACTAGCAGACAGTCTAATGAGGTCGCCGCTGAGGAACCCTCTGCCGCACACGAAGACCCCTTCAAGTGAGACAAAGTTTCTTATCCCTGGATTACAATATTCCAGTACAGCGATTATAATCCAGCTTTAATTTTGGATCGCTAGACTGGAATAATGTAAACTAGGCGTTTGTCTAGCTAGTATTGTGATAAATCCGGCTCGAAGGACCACTGTCACTACAATTAGTTTTATTAATTTTGCACTCAGAATCTTCTTAGGACTACTAAGACAGGCTTATGTAATAAATTGTAGCAATTACTAATACAGGTTCAAATAATTCTCATATGAAATAAGTATTAGAACAGAGTTCCCCAATCTTTTTTGTGTTGTAGACCCCTTGCTATGCATTTCCGTGTTGGGTAGAGACCCCAAGTAAACAGACCCCTACTTACCTAATATTGATGTCCTGTAAATTTCTACACTTTACTACATGGGTACTTTTATAAATAATGTATATGTTTTGATACTATAAGATAGTTTGATGTAAGTAAATATTTACTATCAGTGTATGTGTTGACTCCACTATCGTGGTCCCCCATTTTCATTTCACGGACCCCCAAACTTTTTTTCGCTGACGTACATCCCTTGCAGGTTGTCATAGACCCCTAGGGGTCGATATAGACCACTTCGGAAATCACTGTATTAGATGATGGGCCATTTAACAACTCTGAGTGCATTGACATTAATATTTTTAACCCTATGAAAGCCCTGGACAAGAAATCTACCACATCTTTTTCAAACAAAGTTATCTGAGGCTGTAACGTTCTAAGTCGTGATGACTCCCATATGATAGATGTGAGGAGGTGGAAGGCGTGGGTGGTGGTGAGGGTGAGGGAGAGGGCGAGTGCAGCCTGGCGGGGTTCCTGATAGGTCGGGCGTGCGGGGACGCGGTGGTGGCCAACTACCTCTACTGGTACTTGTTGATTGAGTGCGAGGACGCGGAGTGCGGCGCCCCACCGCGACCTCCTCGCCACATGTACCTCAGTGTCATGAAGACATTCTCACAGCGACTCGCTAAAGGTAATCAACATTACAGCTCACATCGGTTTATATTCCAACTAGCTGTCGCCCTCGACTCTGTTCATTAACAGCCTCAATGTTTTGTCTTTCTTTTTCTTCCTTCTTCCTATGTGTTCTTACAGATTATGTTCTATATCCGTGGGAAATTTTATCGATATTTGTTGAGCCGTTTTTGAGATATCTTCAAACATCCATCCATCTAAATATACGCATTTATAATATTAAGAAGATTTTGTTTTGAAAAAATACTCGTTAGCCCCATAAAATTCATGGGAGGTCCTGTGGCCACCCCACAGATATGACAGCGAGATAAAATAAAAAATTAGGGTATCTTTGTACTAAAGGTAAAAATAGATAAGTTAAAACTATTGACATGGTATAAATTATTTATGTTGTACCAGGCAACGCGGACCACCAACGTACGCGTTCCTTCCTCGCACGTCAGCAGGTGTTCATAGACAAGTTGGTGAAACTGGTGAAGACTGTAGCTAGGGAGAGCGGCAACAGGAATAAGAAAGCGGAACGTTTGCAGCAGCTGCTAGCTGATCCTGATGCTTTCAAATTTAACTTCACCAACTTCGAACCCATGCCCTTTCCATTGGACCCCAGTGTGACCATCAAAGGTATTGTGGCGAAGAAAGCGTCCCTCTTCAAGTCCGCCCTCATGCCCTCAAAGCTGACCTTCCTCACCACTGAAGGTGTGGAGTACGAGGCTATATTCAAGCATGGTGATGATCTGAGACAAGACCAGCTGATACTCCAGATGATCACGCTCATGGATAAATTGCTTAGAAGGTACGCGTGACCTTTTTAAGTGGTAGCAAATGGAAAATTTAAGTGTATTGAAATCCCAAATCCCAATTTTATTTCTTAAACAGCTTGAAAATAATTTGTATTTTTTTTAGTGTAATTGTGTCTTGAAAACAGTGTTTCCATTTAAATAATGTAAAGTTTTGTTTGATTATATTTTTATACTGCTAATACCAACCCCCCAAAATTGAATTTGGTCGCCCCCCAAAATCATTACTTTAGGACACTGATTTTCCGACTGTTGTGACTTTATACTTGTAAGTTTAATTTAGCTTGTATATCCACGTTGCAGAGAGAACCTGGACCTGAAGCTGACGCCGTACAAGGTGCTGGCGACGAGCTCGCGGCACGGCTTCCTGCAGTACGTGGAGTCGGTGTCGGTGGCGGAGGCGCTGGCGGCGGAGGGCAGCATCCAGAGCTTCCTGCGCAGACACAACCCCGCGCCCCACGCCCCCTACGGCATCCGCCCCGACGCCATGGACACCTACGTGCGCAGCTGCGCCGGATACTGCGTCATCACCTACCTCCTAGGTAAACCACCACCAAGATTATATCTGTAATCAACAGAACTAAACTAAAAGAGGACAATTTTCCTTTCTACGCGTCCACTCCCTTACCAAATCCATCTCCCCTTTCCATCCCCTACCTATAAGAAAAAAATTAGACGAGGAAGAGGACCAAAACAGTTCTCTGGTCCTCAGACTGTTTGCGAAATAGCTTTCACTTTTGATCTAGTGGTCTGTCTGATCGTAGTATTGCAGCTGGTTATTTTTCTGGAATCTACCATTGTTAAAAAAAATCTGCGTAAATAACTATAGAATTAGTTATGGTGTGACATTTTTAAAGGTGTGGGTGACCGTCACCTCGACAACTTGCTACTGCGTCGCTGCGGCGCGCTGTTCCACATTGACTTCGGGTACATCCTGGGACGAGACCCGAAGCCTCTGCCGCCGCCCATGAAGCTCAGCAGAGAGATGGTGGAGGCGATGGGCGGTGTGCACGCGGACCACTACCACGAGTTCCGAAAACTCTGCTACACAGCATTCCTGCATCTTAGACGGTAAATATCCGACTCGAAGGACCAACAATAAACAAATATATTGCAATTCTTTATCTATGGAAGAAGTTCAAATCTTACTTATATTTTACTTTTATTATAAATGCAAATGTTAAGATGGATGGATGGATGGACGGTTTTAGGTGAACTTTGGCAAAGTAGAACATAGTCTGAAAGAACCGCGGACAACAACTAGTATGAAATAAATAAGTGATAGTTTTTATATTATTTTCATGTATTTTTCTGTTTCAGACATGCGAACCTGATGCTGAACCTGTTCTCCCTGATGGTGGATGCCTCGGTGCCAGACATCGCGCTGGAGCCTGACAAGGCGGTCAAGAAGGTGCAAGACAAACTCAGGTATGCAGCGACCTCTATACACATTTTGGTGCAACAAATATTAGCGAAATAACACTTTAAATGCTCTCACGATTGTGTTCAATTTCCCCCTGTCTTTTACTCTGTACGTAATATCTATGTCTTCAGATTGGACCTTGGGGATGAGGAGGCGGTGCACTACTTCCAGAACCTGCTGGATATGTCGGTCACCGCCGTTATGGCGGTGCTCGTTGAGCAATTCCACAAGTTCGCGCAGTACTGGCGCAAGTAGACATCTCATCCTTTGATCACCTTCCAACATCACCAGGACACTAATTTGAGAACTGACAGCTGTAAGTGGCGCTAGGGTCAAGAGTGAACTGTCATCTCTCAAAGTTTTAAATGTCATTCTAGCTATATAAAAATGTATCCCTTTTGTTAATTTTTTGTTTTAAATAATTTCTGAATTATCTAAAAAAAATTACTTATTTTTGAATTTTTTGAGTTAAATTTGACTGAAATAATTGTTACGACAGACCACATAGTACTTTGTATATAAAGTGATTTTTATAATCTATGGTATATTTAGTGCTACTGTCACTCTGACAGATATTGTGAGAAAAAAAAAAGTTTTTAACAACATTTGCAGATATTTTATAACCTTATAGTTATTTGCTATCTTCCCTAAAGAAATAACTTCCTGAAATCCTCAACTACGAGGCTGCCTCAAAGTTAAGGACAATCTTTATATATATAATACTTCTGTGAGTGTGTATGTCACTGAACTTCTCTCAAACGACTGGACCGATTTTGATGAAATTTTTTGTGTGTGTTCAAGGGGATCTGGGAATGGTTTAGATTCACAATTTTCATCAAATATTAACATCATATTAATTTAATCAAATTAAAGACGTGTAGACAGGACAACGTCTGTCGGGTCCGCTAGTAATTCTAATAATTACACATACTATTTAATAAATTTGCAGTCAAAGAAACATATAAATATGTATATATGTGAAATATTGTCATTATAGTGAAATAAGAAATTTTATAAAACTTTGTACTGTGATATTTTATGATAATTGAAATAAAATATTTTAACAAAAGGATAGTTTTATTTGACAAACCATATTATAAAAGTAATTCTAAAGTGTTATAATTTAACCAACGGTTAAAATTGTAATAAGATGGCAAACGATCGAGCGGCCACCTGGAATCACTGAAATAGCGAAGTGACCGTTGACCATAGACATACGTAATTGCATATGCGTTGCCGAATCCATCATAACAAGAGTCCAAGGGACCATGTTATTTTTTCTTGCTCACAGAGATGCTTCTCTAACCTGAATTTCTCTCTCTTGGAGGTTAACGGACAATAACTCTCGCATATTCAAGCTCGACTGTATCTTTATTTGACACTAGCTGACGCCCGCGATTCCGTCCGTGCAGATTAAAAAAACATAATAAGTAGCCTATGTGTTCTTCCAGACTATGTTCTATGTGTATACCAAATTTTAGTGAGATCCGTTCAGCCGTTCTGGAGATATCTTCAAACAAACATCCATTCATCTAAACATATGCATTTATAATATTATTATATTCAAAATAAAAAAAATATTGTTTTCAAATAATTGCTTAATATTTATTTCTAACAAATTCAACTTATCTTAAAATCTAAATATAATATTTTAATGAGAAATCTTTATAAGATGTTAATTTTCTTTACAAATAGTGTGTTTAATAATTTTAAAACATACATAAAACGTAAGACATATACAAATATAGCTACTATGAGTATTATTATAAAAAGAGTGAACGAACACTTATCACTAAAATATTAAACATATGATTATAGCAAAAAATGCAACATTATAAAAATTATATAATTTTTAATAGCTTGATAGCCTGAATAATTTACCAAGAAATTCCACTACACTGAGACATGTCACTTTGTCTTTGTTTTAAATGGTTTTAGTAAAAGACGAGTGAGCGCCAAATCTCAAAGATGTCGAGGACTGAGCGAAATGGAATAGTAATTATTGGGAAGCTAACCCCACCACTTTGTGAGATGCAAGCTAGTCAGAAAGAGAGATTATAAGGTGGCAAGCGGCCACCAGAATTCGCTGAAATGGCGAAGCGATCTCTGCCTAATAGACATACGCAATTGCCGATGCATAGCCTACCTTTAATCGATGGAGAGGATGCACAGAAAGCGAATATTTTCCCTTTCCATGTATCTTTTCATCAGGAAAATCCACTATTTAAGTTCAAGAGCATGCAGACATATAATCACTACCGCTGGCAACACAATCACTGGCCACATATATCTTGCTTCCCGTAGCACTTTGTATAACATCGCAGGCTGCAATCTCTGCATATGTAACACCCCCTATAACAAACACTAGTACGGACTTTGTCTTGAAACTAAATGCATTCGATAACTTACTGTCTGTTTTTAATTTTTTTAACAAAGATTTTGCATCCATACATCCATATTCCAATTCGCTATTAAGTTTTAAATTTGATAATTTCTCATTCAATGTTTGTATACCATCTTTCATATTCTCTAATAATGATCCAGATAATTTTAATTCTAATGTACTAGACAGTTTTGTTAATGCTTCAGATAAAGATTCAGATGTAAATAAAATATTGCAAATACTGGCCACTAATGGCACATAACTTCCGTTGAATACATAACTCGGTGATGATTTTGTATCACCCTGTGATGGCAATTGCTTTAATTTTGCTGCTTGATTTTGAAAACCTGTCTGCCATTTTGGCAATCTATCACTTAAGCCACTCAAATTAGATATATTCAGTGATAATTTGAGACTTACAGGTTGAATGAGTAATCCAACATTGATTAAATTTTGAAATACATACAAAAATTTATATCCAAATGCTAAAAGATATTTATTGACTAAATTATTATATTCATCGTAAGAAAGTCCTTGTGTTAAACTGAGTAGACACATTAATCTGAGACTATTGTAGATTTGTATGTCTGTACCAAAGTTTTCATCGACAAAATTAAAGTTAGATTTCTTATTTCTATTATTCAACATTTCATTCTCTGTATATGTTACGTTTTCAAATTTATTATTCATTTCAGATATGATAGTTTCACTGGCCAGTACGTGGTTCACTAGATTCTGCTTAAATAAAGCCACTTGTTGTAACTTCGTTGACACAAAATGTTTAATTTCTTGTATACCCAACGCTTTTATGTCTTCGTTTTTTAATAATTTAGCTTTCGAACTCAATACACTTAGAACTTCAGAGAAATGTCTATGTTTGATTTCTCCGTACAGACTGTCTATTGAACTATCTAAATTCATGGTTATTTTCTTAGGATTATCATCTGGAATTGTTGTAAAATTCATTTTACCTTTTTTATATTTCGTTTCTTTGACATTTAAATCTAAATGTCCACATGTTATGTTGAATATTTCATTTAAAAGACCGGAATATGTCGCTGGAGTGAGTAAACTTGATGCATAATCTTGATTTCTATCTATTAACAAAACTGTATCAATCTCATCTATGCCTTTGCTTATAAAATCTCTTGAATATGTCTCATTATAAATTTCCAATATATCAAGAACACTAGAAGACAATTTTCCTAGTGATATTATGCATTTAGGTTGACCGGTAATATGGAATAAACTCCACAAAGACAAAGATACACTTGACAATAGAGAATGATTTTGCTCAACATATAATTGCTTGAATAAAAATGGCAATTCCAAGCTGAGAAGTCTGTCATCCAATGACATTAACTCCCAAGAAAAAGAATGAAGCTTCACAACACCATATAAACCCCTGCTTTCTAATATTGAATCATATGTATGTAAGACTTTTGGTACAATAATTATGTTAAAACATTTCAAGTCAGCTAGAGATGGTTTTTGACTGATTTGTGATGAAATCTGATCAAGCACACACTTATATTTATGTTTACAGGCAGATATGAAATATATTTTAGTTGTATTTACAGTCTGTCCAAGTTGGGGATCCATTTTGTAGATCTTTTCAATGCCATGTTGTCTGAAATGGAATATGAATAATATTAATAATAATAATCTTCATAATTATTTTGCTTTTTTGGAACATAAGGTTGTGGGTAAGGATTTCAACTTTACATGGTTCTATTGCACAGTAGGAACATCAATAATTTTTAATTTTTTAAATTTACCTACAAAAAAATTACCTTAGCCAAGTTACACCACATATCCTTTCCAAAGGTTTTATAAGAGATGGATCTATAATTAAATCGGCTTTATCACCGCATAATGAAAGGATCTTTTGTAATTTATGCTGTGATATTAGACACAAAGATGAAAGTTTAGATTGCAGAGGTTGATCCATGGTTTTTAAATGATTTTGATTTCTTTTCTTACAATATTGTTTAAACGCTCATTAGTTTTTAATACATTTTTATGAAAACATTAAGACAAACAATTTATCTTCAAAACATTGCGTGACAGCTGTTGCTGATGACAATGACATTGACAATAAATAAGTGTCACAAAGGATTTGACAGATCCAACAAAAGGTTAGATTTACGCAACTTTGTTATCTATTTATAATTTAATTTAATAATTGTACTTTTCAATTATTTTGAAATTCTTCGACATGTCCTAAAAAGAACATCAGACTCTATTGTAAACAAAATATGATAACAACGAAATAATGAACTGTAAACACTTATTACAAAAACATAATTTATTCCAATTGGACTATTCAGAGGCAATTTTGAATGTCATCCAAATAGTTTAGAGTTTATTTTAGACTATAATTATATAGTTTAATGAATTTGTGGTCCAATGTTTTCATTATGAATTTATTGATTTATTAAACTTTTCCATTTTAATAGTGAGCAAATAATTTTCGCGGGATTTTCTATCCTTGATGACAGTTTCCGGTCATGCGTCGTTGTCTAGATCGCAATATCCTTCCCGCCCCGCTCCGCCTCAACGTCCGCGGAGTGAGTGCGCCGTTCAACATCGTATAATCAAAAATTTAAAGAAATGGCTGCAAGATTAATCCGGAAAATTGTAAGTCAGTAGTTGAGTGCTAGAAAATTTGTTTTCCCTTAAAACTGCATGTAGCCTCTAACTCTTTGTAAGTCTGCTTAATTTCTTTTGCAATCCAAAAATAGACTATTGTACATAGTTATGTCGAAGAATTACATAAATGCGCTTTTGAAGCCTTTTCGTGAGAGTAACGTAGTGGGAGCTTTACTGAAACTGTTCGACACGGGGCCGAATCAAGGACTTAAACGTGTTGGGATCGCGAAAAATGAGGTTTACATACATTTTTGTTAATTTTCTTATAGTTGTATGGTTTAAGGTTATAGGTTAGCTTTTTCTGGTTTTGTCTAGGTTCCGACGGCCAAGTCTGGTGCGGCGCAGTACAGCAGCGGCGTACGGAAGGTGACATTGATACCGGGACATGGTATTGGTCCTGAAATCACCGTCGCAGTGCAGAAAATCTTCGAAGCTGCTAAAGTACCTATTGAGTGGGACGAAGTCGATGTCACAGCTGTTAGGGTATGTACCGTATTTTCCTTATTTAATAGCCTAATTTTGTATCGAAAACGTGATTACAATTTTAACAGTAGTGTAATTTTTTTTCGCACAAAGAAAGAATAAGAATATATTTAAGGAAAAATATTTATCAAAATTATTTAACACGTCAGTGTTGCGTTACGAAAATGAAACGATACACATTTATAAAGGTTTTAATACTATGAAAAAAGTTAAAAACATCTCAATTGAAATCAATTAGACATAGTTTCTCTATTTAGTTTAATTACTCACTTAGCATATGTTTTGTGAGTGTTTTATTGTTAAATTTGCATAGTAAAGTGATGTCAATGTTACATACTACATTTACATAATAAGATCATTTACTTCATATCCAATTGGAACTTTAAAAATTAAAATCTAATTATCTGCCATTGGGCATAAGAACATAATCTTTCCCTGTCTCTCGCAGTTATATTAAAAAAAAAAAAATTATTTTTTAATGTCATTAAAATTTTAAAACCTTTTTTCATTGAATGTTTAACTAAAATAAATTTATTATCTATTGTTTTAGGGTCCAGATGGAAAGTTTGGTATTCCCCAGAAGGCGATAGACTCTGTAAATGCCAACAAGATTGGCTTAAAGGGTCCCCTGATGACCCCAGTGGGCAAGGGCTACCGTTCCTTAAACTTGGCGCTCAGGAAGGAGTTTGACCTTTATGCTAATGTCAGGCCCTGCAAAAGTTTAGATGGGTAAGCTATTATTATATTAATAACAAGTAAAAACCTATCTGAATCTTAGTAGTTTGTTAGAAAGTATTCTTAAAATGGCTTCATGGATCTCACTGAAATTTGGCATAAATGTAGAACATAGCTTAAAAGAACACAGTCTACTTATTACGTTTTTTGGTTATTCTGCGTGGACATAGTCATGAATGAAACCTAGTAGTGGCTAAACCATTAGCTTATGATTGTGGTCAAGTGATTTCACTTGATTTTGTGTGACTGTTCATGCTAGTTTATTTTTCTTCTGCTTGAGGTTCCCCGCCGACTAACAAAGGTTGCCTAGCTCACTGGATACCTATTCACTCTACTCATGAAGGTTCCTATATGGCCTCCTTGGTATACTAAATAAAACAATTTAAAAAAAGTAAATTAGTACATTATTATTTTGATTTTCAATTACATTTATATTATGGAATAGAGTACATATTTATTATTATTTACTATTAGTTTTGATTTAATCATAGTAATTATTTCCTTTACACTATCATATAATATGTCAAGGTATTTTATAAGATAAATAGCAGTGATAATTATATATAAATTTTATCATATAAGTAGCATATAGCATAGTCTGTGTGTATGTATGAGTATGTACAGTCTGATGAGTGTACGTCCCGGAGGCCTAAGTAAGTCCTCTTTCCCTTCCCACCTTTTAAGGAAACAATGGGAAGTGGAAGTGGACTTTCCGGATGAGAGGATGCATGGAAAGGGAAAATATTTTCTTTCTGTGCATCCTCTCCTCCGTCGATTAAAGGTCACAACGGTCACTTCGCTATTTCAGTGATTTCAGGTGGCCGCTCGCTCGTTTGCCATAAAAAATATATTTCAAATTAGTTCATTAGTTTGTAAGCTTATTTATTAATAATATAAAGAATTAAATCTTTCCTCTTTATAATTTTAATATAATAAAATAAATATGCACGTGTATTTAATCTGTCGAAATCTTTGATTCAATGTTGGTGAAAAAACAAAATGGTGACGTAATTTAACAAAATATGACTCAACAAGATAATTTTTTATTAATCTCTTATCTTGAAATATATTGTCTGATGAATGGGGAATTACAAGTAACAACAATGACGAAAATCGCTTATTAATCGTTGTAAATACTAAGAAATTTTATTTATCGTAGATATTTAAATCAAACACTGGCAATACACAGATTTAAAAAAAAAACAACTAAATACCACAGGAAAGGCTTAGTAGTTCATCGAGCTGGCTACCATTTGCCGTACTTTATTTTTTGTTCTTTGTGTGTGTATGTTAATTGATCATTCTTGGAGACCTGTAGTGTAGATTTCTCACATTAAATCTACACTAAGGGGACTTAATAACTCTATATGCGGTAGTTAATTTTATCACTGGTTGGATAAAGTTGTTCGTTTATTCAAAAAATATTCATATATTCATCTTACTAATATTATGTAAGCGTATGCTTGAATAGATGGATGGATATTTGTTAGAAGATATGGAGAGAACAGCTGAATGGATCCCGCTGAAATTTTGCATAGATGTAGAACATAGTCTGGATGTCATACTATATGTATATACGCGCGGACGCAGTCGCAGGCGACAGCTAGTATATGATAAACTCATTCAACATTCTTTAGTTATCAAATTACGTAGATCTGTTATCACCTACGTGCCTGATGGCCGGCGCTGAGTGTTATCACGTTGATAAGGTCGTTATCAAAATATCAGTAAATCAATGTCAATACCCTATATCTCCTTCAAAAATCAAGGCCTAATTTTTTATTTTTTTTTGATAATATTATATAACATAATAAGAGATTCACGTGCTTTATTTTATTCTAGCTGTACCCACGATCGACCGTGCGGAATTAAAACAAATATAATGAATAGCCTATGTGTTCTTCCAGACTATTTTCTATATGTATGACAAATTTCATCCAGATTACGGATCTTAACAGTGCTGAAGATACCCTCAAACATCCATCCATCCATCGATCTAAACATTGGCATTTATAATATTATAATAGTAAGATAACTAATTATATACATTATGCTTACGTTTTCGTTACTTTAAGGGTTCCGTACCTCGAAAAAAAACAATTGTCGTGTTGAGTGAACTTTCACTTGACTAGGTTTGTACGGAACCCTCGGTGCGCGAGTCTGACTCGCATTTTGCCAGTTTTTTTTTATATTCGCAGACCACACACAAATGTAAACATGTATTTAGCACGTGTATTATGTAAATATTTATATATACAACATGCAGTTTATCACAATGAATATGACTTTATGAATTGACACATTACGATAAAGACCTATTATCAATTATTAACAATAATAATTGTATTAAACAACTTCATTATTATATTAATGATAGTATAAAAAAGCAATAAACATTTGGACCATAAAAGACTTTGAAATTAGTTCAATAGTTTTTGAGTTTCTTTGTGCAATGCTAGCTTTCGCCCGGGACTCCATCGACGCGGAATTAAAAAAAAACTTCATTAGCATATCTGTTCTTTCAAACTATGTTCCGGTGAAATAGACTGTTTATTACTAGGTTTAAAATTCCTCGCAGTTGAAGTCGCGGGCAACTGCTTGTTATAAACAAATATTTTTTAAAAATAATACTGGCTTACACTAAACTGTCCATCAATTCATAAAACTGAATAACATTTTAATTAACTTTGTACAGTAGCGGCATTAGTGTAGGGCCAGGTGGGCCAACCGCCCAGGGCGCCGTAAAAAGGCCTGCGTTGACCCCTAAGATATCCTATCTTTGGAAGATTAACCCCCACAACAACAGGGGGTCGCAAAAATCTCACATAAGGAGCCATGTCGTGTGATCATTTTTTTTTTCTTAAATAAATCTATTTATGTAATTTTCCTTATCTGTGTACTTATCGAAAATTTGATGAAATTATCTTTTATTTCGATTGGCTAAGCTTATCCAGATTGATGGGTTAAAATCATGGATTATATTTACCCTTTATACACGAGGTGGATTCGTGATATGGATTGAATCTGGCTAAGTTATTACCTAACTAGCTCTCTTTCTAATATACCGTCTTACTTCATACTAGTATTATGACTGCAAAGTTTAGATGGACGGATGGATACTTGTTAGGTGTCTCCAAAGAGGTTGGATGGATCTGGCTTAAATTTGCCATAGATGTAGTACATAGTCTGGAAAACCAACTAGGCTAGTAATAAGTTTTTTTATTTCGCGCGGACGGTGTCGCAGGCGACAGCTAGAATTGAACATAAATAAACTTAAAAACTAATTTCAAAGTTTACGGTCCGAATTTTTGTTGGTTTGTAAGGAAGACCCCCTAAGCTAGAAATAGGTTAGAGAGAAATCTCTATAAGCGAGTAAATATGACGGTCCCTTGTACTCTCGCTCACCCAGTTTCAACTGTAACATACGATTTTTCTTAAAGTTTCTCATTGAAAACAATCCATAAACAAACACCAGTAATCATACAATCTTGAGATGTAGTTTGGAAAAATAAAATCCTAAATTAGGTATTTGTTTATAGCAAGTGCTTGTTTCCATGTCCTTGTTTGATGTCAGTTTAAATTTATACAATGTTTCCTTTCCCAGTATAAAGACATTATACGACAACGTGGATGTGGTGACGATCAGAGAGAACACGGAAGGTGAATACTCTGGCATAGAGCACGAGATCGTGGACGGCGTCGTCCAATCCATCAAGCTGATCACGGAGGAGGCCAGCAAGCGTGTCGCTGAATTCGCCTTCCAGTTCGCCAGGGATAACAAGAGGAAGAAGGTCACTGCTGTACACAAGGCTAATATTATGTAAGTATAATTAACTAATTCTGGGTTTCTGAATTCAAAATCTCCGCTTAACACGTATTGTTATCTCTGTGTTATCAAAGATAATGACAGGAATGACGATATGTTCTACAATATATTATATATTTTGATGTCAGGAACCCACGGTAAGAGCGTCGCAGGCTCAGGGGTCAAGACTTTATAATATGCAGGTCCTGGGTTCGAATCACGTCATGTATTAATGTAATTTTCTATTGACATATGTACATTTATCCGATGTTCTTACCCTAAAGGATAATATCGTGATTTTAAAGATTGACATATAATATTTTTTTTAAATAATTGTATGAAATTAAACACAAAAATTATTCGTTCTCTGAACAATAGTTCAATTAACGAAATACTAATAAGCAAACATTTTTTAGACATCGATTGAATAATATTTACTAATATGAAATATATATTTGTTTTAAAAATCAACAAAAACAATTCAAACAGCTTTTATATAAATAATTTATGAACTTTAACTTAAATGTGAACTTTACTAGTACACTCAATATTCAAATTATATTAAATATATAGAGAATAGAATACATATGATAGAAAATATGTACATTATGTAACAAGATACTCACCTTGATATAAGTTAGCGACGGAGCGTGAATTAAACTCGTTCGGTGTCAACTCGACAACGTTCATTGGTGTTAATGAATAGGTGTCAGTTCCCCTTTATACTGGATAACATCTTACACACAATTTAATAAGATTTTTGTCTATATTTGTTTATGTAACCGTAGTTTTTATTGACACACATCAGTTCACTATACGTGCCCACCGAGGGGCTCGGAGCCTACCCTAAGTTAAGGGTGATTAGGTCATAGTCTACCACGCTAGCCTAGTGCGGGTTGACTTCACACATATCTTTGAATCACTTCTCAGATATGTGCAGCATCACGATGTTTTCCTTCACCGAAAGAATGTCGGATGTACATATGGAAATCGGAATTAGAAAAACACATTGGTATTGGGATTCGAACCCGGGACCTGTAGATAGCAAGTCTTAACCCCTGAGCCACCGACGCTCGCTGGAAGAACACAAAGGCTACTAATTGAGCTATTTTATATCGGTGCGGATGGTGTCGCGGGCTACAGCTAGTAATCAAATAAATTTGCAGGCGGATGTCAGACGGTCTGTTCCTCCGGTGCTGCCGCGACCTGGCCACCAAGTACCCAGACATCAAGTTCGAGGAACGCTACCTCGACACCGTCTGCCTCAACATGGTGCAGGACCCCTCCAAGTTTGATGTGCTGGTGAGTGAGATGTGCTTATGTGGTTGTAGCTAGATACAGCTTGACTTTGTTTTTGGCGATGACAGAAATGTCGGCGACGCGACATTGTATTGCGTACGCTAAGTGACTAAAATCGCCAGGTTTCGAAGATTTACGTAGTCTAAATCTACACTAACATTACTTAGTAAATGTAATATTTATATTGTGTCTATGTTTTTTTTCAGGTGATGCCAAACTTGTACGGTGACATAATGTCAGACATGTGCTCTGGTCTTGTGGGCGGACTGGGTCTGACACCTTCAGGCAACATTGGCAAGAACGGTGCACTCTTTGAGTCTGTAAGTATGCAAAATTTACAACTCCACATAATAGACAATTATCACAACAAGATTTTAAATTCTCTGACAAAGTGATTAATAACTCTATAAAACCATAAACTCGTACTTTATAATTCGTTTATTTCATCTTGAGATAAATCAAAGAATTTTAATATAAACAAATAATTTATATTGAAATTCTTTAAAAAAATGTATGAAAACCATTCATTTATCAATCAGCTGATGTTTGGCTGTGTTACAAAAATGCCATAAAATAATTTTAAAAAAAATAAGATTCGATCGTTCAAATTTGACATTTAGTAATGTGATATGAAACACCAATCAGAAAGCTTGACGTCACTATGATGTCATTGTCATGTTTTAATAGTTCAGAATTCAGTACAACAATTTAAAATCGAGTACAACAACATACAGAGATATGATTCTACTCTACAAGTTGTGACGTCACTGACGCCATGACATGTGATCGAGTTTTCGCGGGATATTTGAAATTGATTTTTGAAAATACGAAATACACAATTTAAATTGTACATTTTCTCTCAAAAATATGCTTTTTTAAATAAATCATACAATGAATCTACGATAAGCATAGAAATGTGCAATTTATTATTCACAATGTAAGAGGTTTATGTGAATTTAAAAAAAAAATATTTGATAAGTTTGTCTTTAAATTGCAATTTAACTCAGATATTATTTAGGTTTATTTCTTTACCTTAGATTTGATTATATTAATTTTGCACATAGTTATTTAGATAAATAATTAAAAAAAAAAATTGGAACTCCAAAGTTGGATCTCGTGATTAAGTGATATTATAGCATTGGTTAAATTCTTTGGATAAAGTAAGTCAGTTCTAAAGTTACTATGTGTGCCACTAACTGGTGTTGGTTATCATAATTAACCGCATGGTTTTTCACTTACCATAAGTTATATCCCTAACTTAATCAAATTATAACTTAATATTGTGTCATATAAGTGTGTTAAGTTAAAATACATTTAAAAATCATTGTTCTGTCCGTATAAATATGTTTAAATTAATATTTTAGTAATGTCATGCATGTTGAATTAATAAAAATATGCTTTGTCTTGCTAACTTTTTATATGCAGGGTAGTTTTTTCGTCCGTATGTAAGTTTGTATGTATGTAAATTTATTTGTGACGGTCAACAGCAGTCTTTTCCAAAGTGGACGATAACGCCCCCTTGTGGGCGCTGCAAGAGTCAAGGGGGGCGGTAAGAGACCCAGAAAGAAAATGGGGGCGTGGCGTAGAGGCCTGGGGGGTGATTTATAATTTTATTTAGCTAGGAGGCCTCTTAGACAATGACTGCATGAGCTGTCGACTCTCAACAACAACTTGTGAAAAAATATTTATTCTCAAAGTGGGCAGTAGACAAAATAAGTTTGGGAACCACTGGTCTACAGTCTAAATTACTGAACAGACGTAGACAAGTGACATGTCATATGATTCATATTCTTATTCGAAATGTCATAGAGTAAATGACAATGTACATATGGTGCATGTTAATCGCATATGGTGAATGTTAATCGTTGGTTTCTGAGACTAAAATCTTTCTATATAAAATATTGTTATCTCTGTGTTGCCAAAAATAATAAGAGGGATAATTATGTTTTAGCTGGGAGTTTGGTCTTAAAACCCACTTAAATAAAAGATTAAAAGAACTTTTACCGTTATTAGTATTTTTGAAAACAATAAAAAAATTACATTTAAAATAAACAGTTAGTTTTGTCTTAATTTAAAAAAAAATAGATTTATTAGAGTCTCAGTCAGTTGTTCTTTTAGTTTAGTTTAGTCATTATGGATATGAAAAAAAAAACAAACGGTATCCTAATATAAAACATAGATTATAAAGTATTTGTTTACACATCAAATTAATGTGTAAAAACTCGTGAAAACCCATTAAACCCAATATTGTCCATTTCCTGATTAATTGGTCTTGTTTATTTGTATTGTGTTAACAAAATCCAATCATTCCATAATTCATAATTAACAATATGATTTTATCCCATATTAATCTATCATTTTTTGTGTGGCTAACTAACAAATATTGTCCAAAGGTGCACGGCACTGCTCCAGCTATAGCCGGACAAGACAAAGCTAATCCAACAGCTCTACTCCTCTCTGCCGTGATGATGCTGCGTCATCTGCAGATGTACCAACATGCTGATAACATAGAGAAAGCCTGCTTCACCGTGCTGAAGGAAGGTCGAGTCCTCACAGAGGACCTGGGAGGCAAGAGCACTTGTTCCGAGTACACCACGGAGATTATCAAGAATCTACATTGATATGGTTCGTGTCACTGTGGAGTTGATATAGTCTTTATCTGAAAATTACATTTTTTAATGTATAGTACTGTTTAGATTTGTATTGGTTATATGTCATTTTAAATTTATTAAATTAAATTGTGATATATACCTATATATATTGGTCTCTTATCAATATATAAAGTTTGTGTTTGTTGGACCGTTGTAGTTGACAAACTTTAATTTCTATATAAAAAACTTTTTAAAATCATTATAACTAAGATATCAATAAAATGTTAACTCCACAGTGGTGTAATCTTCATCGAATAGTTAATTGTTATTTTGTAAACTGACAGTATTCTTATACATTCCCTGAGTTTAGTTTTGTACAAGAACCAGCCAAAGAAGTATTCGATGTGCGTTTATAATTCATTAACCTGGTATTTTGTGAGATTACATGATTAACAAAGACATGCAGATGTATTTATAATGCTACGTAAACGATTAAACATGATTGTTTGGTCAAACTTCATCAAACATCCCAAATATAGGCAAAATAAAACATAGCTTCACATGTCTGTATAGTAGTATTGCCATCTCTCTCATTTTGTTTAGAAAGAATAGAGATAGCAATACTTAATTTGTAATATGACAAACTAAATTCACACATAACATCAAATATTTGACATATTGTTTGATCGTTTGCCGGAACCTGAAGTCTTTGATTTTTGTGTGCATTTCAGTGATGTATTTAAATTGAAGAAAGGTCTGACTGTGGTGTGGTTAATTAAGTTTTAACTCTTCTAATTAACAAAGACATTGTCAACTTGTACAAAATGTAAGACGTTTGAAATTATGTTGCCAGATGCAAATAAACAACTAAGTAAAAAAGAAAAAAAGAATTTCAGATGCAATTTCTGAGAAAAAAACAGTGCAATTTCTATTTTATTTTCCATTTTGTACAAGTAAAGAATCGTCTATTTGATCAAATATCCACTAGTTTTGTGTACTTTGCCTTAAGTGTTACCATTAATGTTTTAAGTTACCGCAAGTATTTTATCTGAGTGTTACCATTTTATTGCTATAAGTTGACTTAAATTGAACTACTAGCGAATTTAGTTGAGGCACTAATGTATTTATTCATTTTAAATTATTTAAAATCCAAACTGGCAATTGTACTTTATTATATTTGGCAGAACGAAGAAGGCCTTTTTCATAAAAAATGGCGCTAAAAAAAGTTGTACTCTAGTTTTATCCATATTTTAAGTGTGTTTGTGATTGATTAAGTGATACCTTACGACGTTTGTATTAATTTAGTAGATATTTGAGTTCCTTGTTTTGTGATTGTATTTACAATAATTGTCTATGGTTATAATCATGCTTTTATTTATTTTACAATGGTTTGAATGGCAGCCCTTTGGCCATGCGAGTGACCATTGATTGTGTAATGTTCTTTTTAAGATTAAAAAAATCAGATGAAATCTGAAAAATGAGCTGAGCTGTAGCTATAATTAGTAGAATACATCTTATTTATTGACTAGCTAATGAGTAGTTAAAATTCAATGCAACCTTTAGTTTAGTGTCCTTATGAAATTGACAAATAAAGAGATTGAAAATACACGACTATTATTTTTAAACATTTTTTTCAGTAAACGTGTTTAAGTGCGTCCAGACGCGGACCCATAGTATATATTTGGGTAGAACCAACGCTAAAGGATATCGTTCGTTAGACCGACCTGACAAAAACATTTGTAAATAATCGAACAAAAATTATGACAAATTAACGATTCTCCATAAAAGATTGATTATGCACATTTACATTGTTGGTCAACAGATCTAGAATATTTTTTATATTATTAAAAATTTTATTAGGTGCACGGCACAGCTCCCGACATCGCGGGTAAGGATATGGCGAATCCCACAGCGCTGCTGCTGTCCGCCATCATGATGCTACGACACCTGCAGCTCAACGAGCACGCGGACCGCGTCCAGAACGCCTGCTACGAGGTGCTGCGCGAGGGCAAGTCCCTTACCGGAGACCTGGGCGGCACAGGGAAATGTAGCGAGTACACTAACGCCATCATCTCGAAACTAAACTAAATTTGTTATCTGTATGTTGCGTTTTGACCTTGCAAAAGTTTTGACTTCATAAGAAAGATTGTGATCGTGAGATTTGATGATTATCGTAATTCAAACTCGAATTTAGAAAATTATATTGTAGATAAAATTTAATGTACAGTATACCAAAGTATTATTTGTAGTTCATAAAGTTTAATGCCCTTTATTTATTTTACAATGCTACCATTTTAATATGCATATGTTAAGTATACAGTGTGAAAATATTCTTAACAACAACTGGAAAATTGTTTGATCTGAAAATCTGAAATTCATATAAATTTATATAATTTTATGTTACCAACAAATATATTTGTAAACAACATGCTCTGTCTTTTATTTAACGTAAAAGATTATCTTAAACCCTCAAAATAAATGAAAAGACATCCTAGTAAAATTCTTAAAAAAAATTAATTATATTACTAATGTTATAAATGCGAATGTTTGGATGTTTATTGACATTCTGTGTTTGTTGTCTCATGAACCTACTTCCCGTGTCAGACCGAAATAGTTATAAAGATGGATGGATGGGTGTTAGTTATTAGGTTATTAAATATCTGAAGAATGGCTCAAGGGGTCGCATTAATTTCGCATATATGTAAATGTAGAACATAATCTGGAAGAACACATAGACTACTAGTTAAGCTTTTTTTAATTCTGCACAGACAGAGTCGCCGGCGAGAGCTAGATAAGCTTTGTTGCACAGTCGCATGCAGTGTCGTAAAATATAGCCTGTTATTTTAAAATATTGATTGTAATGTGCCAAGTAATAAGACCAAGGGATAGTCCCATATATTTTTTTTTTATTATTTATTGAACAATTTATAAACAAGTCATTTTTTTCATTTTAAAGATTCTCTTATCCTCCTAATCCTAAGAACTTGTTTTCGGTCATGTTCAAAACTGTCAGTAGGTTCGACATGCTTTAAATTTGACATTGACAGTGACAGTTGGACCAAAACATTGTGAGCGCACGTTGTTTTTAATTTTATAACCAACTTTTAGACTCTTATGTACTATTAACTTTGATATTTTCCGAACATTGAAGATGGTTAAAAGGGTATGTTGTTTATTCAACTAATGTAACAATTATAGATCCAAATATTTAATAAATAATTAAAAAATCTAAATTAAAACACGCTTACAAAACAACCCCTATTTGTTTTTCGCAATATTCGCTATATTTACGTTTTGATTGGTGTCGAATAATAATAATATTATTTCAGGATAAGACTAGTTCTATATCGGAAAATGATGAATCAATAACAATTAATGAAAATGGCAAAAGACCGTTGGACACAGAAAACAAAGATGGTCAAAAGAAATTACGAATCAGAGGTTTGTACAGACAACCAACTGTAGAGGAATTAAATCGCCTTCAAGAAACTGAGAATTTATTCAATTCCAATTTATTCCGTCTTCAAATAGACGAAATACTCAATGAAGTTAAGGTAAAGGAGAAAACCGTAAAGAGATTTCAAGAATGGTTCAATACACTAAAGGAACATTTAAAAACAATTCCCGAAGGTGATACGGAATATGATTTGACAGAAGATAAAATTTACAAGCATTTAGGTGTAAAATCACCTGTTGGAATAGAATTAAATAAAACAAAATGTATGTTTAAATTTCACAAATTTCAAGATATAAATATTGTTGGTTCTTATGGTTTAGGCAACTCGATTAATTCCAAATTAATAATTGACACTCAGATTACAGTACCAATGGATACTTACACTAAAAATGATTCAATAAATTATAGATATCATAAGAAAAGAGCTGCATATTTAGCATGTATCGCATCTCATTTAAAAGATCTGGAAATTATTGAAGAACTTAAATATATGTACGTAAATGACTGTCATACTAAACCAATGCTAGAAATAAAGCCTTCTGGGAAATTAAGTAACATATTGGTAGTCCGAATGAATTTATCTTGTGACCCTGAATCATATAAACTACACAGATTCAGTCCAGTACGTAATAACTTAAGAGAATCATGGTTATTTGATGACAAAGTAGAGAACTCTTCGGATGTTGGACCTCCAACTCCGTACTATAACAGTAGTATCTTAAGTGACTTAACTAATGCATTAAATCAAGATTTCTTGAATGAAACATTTCTGAATCGTGATAATTTGAAGCAAGCCGTGGTACTTTTGAAGATTTGGCTCCGACAAAGAAAACTTCAAGTCTCCGGATATGTAATAAGCGTGTTTGTTGCATATCTTGTGCAAATAAAGAGAATAAATAATATTATGAGCAGTTATCAGATTATTAGGAATGTCTGGATATATATAAGTAAGTATGAAATTGTTAGATTTTTTTTTAGTTCTGTTATGAAGATATTTATTACTAGCTCTTCCCGGCGACTCTGTCAGCAGTGAATAAAAAAAACTTAGTAAGCTATGTCTTCTCTATGACTATGTGCTTCATGTGTGTCAAAATTGATCAAGATTTATTGAGCATCTTATCATCTACATCAACACTAAGAGGCTTGGAGCCTACCCTAAGTTAGGGATAATCAGGCTATAGTCAACCACGCTGACCCAGTGCGGATTGGCTGATAGTGATAGGGACAATACTAATTACTAATAAGCGTTTCAAATAAGAATGTGCAATAAAAAGCCTTGTTTTGCCAAATTATCTTTTAAAGTCTTCAATAATCATTTTTTTTTAGAATCGTCAGAGTTGGATACGAAAGGCATATCGTTATTCAAGGGTTCAGCGTCAGTACCTTCAATAGAAGAATTCCATCAAAGTTTTCCAGTTGTGTTTATTGATAAATCAGGATTTTACAATATATGTTGGGATATGCACAAAGGAACGTATAATGCGTTGAAGAGGGAAAGCGCATTGGCTATTGAAATGCTGGATAATCCAAACATAAATAGCTTTATACCATTGTTCATGACACCGATGCATGAATTGTTGAAGTTTGATCATATTATAAGGTATGTTACTTTTTACAATCCTGTTTGATAATAATATATAGTAGCTAGCTCATACTAGCTGTCACCCGCGACTCCGTCCGCGTATAACAAAAAAAAACTGAATTAATAGCCTATGACAGAATATGTTCTATATCTATGCCAAATTTCAGCGAGTTCTAGGCAACCATTCTGGCGATACCTTAAAACAAACATACATACATTCAAACATTCGCATTTATAATATTAGTAAGATGTAAAACATGGTAAGGCTTAGTTAAGTAAATGTCTATATTAATAACGCTTTTAGGCCACTTATTCCCTTGCCGTGATTTCTACAGTGTTCTCTTTTTTTAATTGTCCTGTCTTGATGGCGGGAGATTGTGTAATTCGCATACCTGTAGCACCTCTTTAGGACTTGGGCGGTCGCGCAAACGCTTCTCTTGTCATGATTTTTCTTTTATGTAATTTTATATGCCAACTTACAATAATACTCAGTCAGATAACGTTATCGCATCTACATATTTATAGTTATGATGTAAATGTGAATAAAAAATAGAAAATATTATATTTCAGATTCAAAAACCTCAAATCTCTAAATGAGAAAGTCTATAACAAAGTACCCAGATCATCTCAAGTCAATTATGGTATTCACCGGCTGGCTTTAGTAACTGAGACTGTATATTCTGTGCTCAGCCGAGGTCTGGGAGACCGAGCTGACCTGGTACTTCAGCTGGTGCAAGCTGATCTATCATGGAGTGTCAAGAAAAGTGTGGATAAAGTCAAACAGAAGTATGTATAGTAAAAGAAATAGCTTATCCTCTTCTGTGAAATTATTGACCATATTTGTGTTTCAGATGTGAAGACAAATTGTCTTTTGGTCTGGTATTGAACTCGGAGAATGTTATCAAAATTGTTGACAAAGGACCTCCGGCTAACCTACCTGAATCTGAGGAATTTAGGTAAGATGGCTTGTCGATAGATAACAAAGATATTAGTTACATAAATGGACCATTTAGACCAGTCTTTCCCAAAGTGTGCGATAACGCCCCCTTGTGGGCGCTGCAGGTCTCAAGTTGCGGGTTATAGTAAAAGTTTCCTTTACAATTCTCCGTTAATATACATATATAGCTCACAATAATTAATTAATTTAATTTAATTTTTTAAATATGTGAAAATATGGGGGCGCTAAAAAAATATTTATTCTCAAAGTGGGCAATAGACAAAATAAGTTTGGGAACGACTGGTTTAGATCTTTTACATTTAAAAATTATAAAGTGGCAAACAAGCAATCACTTGAATTCACTGAAATAGCGAAGTGACTTCAACCCATAGATATTTGCAGATGGGTTGAATTAAATCGACGGAGGATTGGATACACAAATATTTCCCCTGTTTATGCCTCTTCTTTGATAAAACCACTTCCCCTTTCCGATTTCTTTATATGATGGATGGGAAGGGATTGTGAACTAAAATTAGGTCATTTTGACCATAAGGCCATTAGAGTAAATTTAATAATTATGCGAGGGAAGAGATTTCTTTCTAACATTTTACATTACATGTATTCCTAATGACCTTTCTTAATTGTTTTCTAAGACATAAAATATAGTTATGTGGGTGTTTAGGTCTTTCTGGGGCGAGAAGTCTGAGTTACGTCGTTTTCAAGATGGGTCAATAACCGAGGCGGTTGTGTGGGAGGCAGACAGTCGCGCACAAAGACGTGCGCTGCCCAAACAGATTGTTAACTATCTTTTGAACTTTAAATATGGTAAGTATTCATATAAGTAGTATAAGACGCACAGATATAAGTAACTATATCTAGGTTTCAGGATGTCTAACTGAAACAAAACCAGATATTATATTCACTAATTTATTTTCACTTTGCCACAACCTTCCACTTCAACAGCTCGATACCGAATGTCCAACCGACCTCCTTTTACCTCCCACCACTCGATAATTTTTCCGTCCCTCTCCCTGACAGCTCAAAGTGTTGCCCGTACAATAAACCCTAATATTAGGGAACCCTAACAGTAGGTTGGAAACATGTCTTGGGGCTTTACTGCTGTGGATCTTTTCGATATTTATTGACATTATTCAGGAAACTTTCGACTACAGTCTAGAATGTTTATATCCCAGTTTCCTACATATTTTAGTAAAATTTCTTAACAACAAACGAGTGTTTAGATTTATCTAATTTGGCTCGAAACAGCTCAAGTTAACGTTTATATGCTTTAATAGCTTTAAACAGCATTGGTTTGTTTTTATCTGTGCATAATTAAAATAAGTTAATAAGTAAGCCTAAACTCTAATCGAGTAATAATTGTTATGTTACTATAATAATATTATAAAAGCGAAAGTGTAGATGGATGGATGTTTGTTTGAAGATATCTCTAAAACAATTGAATGGATCTCGATGTAATTTGGCATACATATAGAATATAGTCTTGAAGAACACATACACGGAGTCACGGGCGAGAGCTAGTTTAGGTACAAACAGCAAGACTTATTTGATTACTTCCAGGTGTACCATCATCAGAAGTATACCAGGTAAGCGACCAGCTGGATCAGTTGGTGGTGAGCAAGTCATCAGCTCAGTACATAGAGGAGGGCAGTACGGAAGTGTTGCGCGCATTCGATGAGTTGCGCAGAGATTTGCGCGCTCTCAACAATCTGCCGCTAGATGTCACTGCTATGTACGGTCAGTGTTATAACATGTTACACTTCTACTCGATTTTTAGGAAAATTTGGGAAATTACATCTTTGGTAATGTCTTTTGACATTTACTAGACGTAGTTTTATTGCTATTACATATATGTGTTTATCAATAATATTAAAATACAAAATAATCTTTCTTTTTGCGAGATTTTTCAATGATATTGATTATAACATGGCGATATTTATTTTAATTTATCATTCATAAAAAAAATATAAAATTACAGTAAATGGATCTAATTATATTTAGGACGCTCTTAAAACTAACGCTAGCATACAACTGTTTAAATATAAACACTAACTAACCAGTAAGTCTATGTGAAGCCAGTACTGTCTTACTGTACTGGCATAATATAATCGGGTTAAAATGAAGTTGTTACTGCAGGTACATCATCAGTATTCAGTTACTGCAGGCCGGTGGTGTCTGTGTGTGCGGGGCGTGGCCTGACTCAACCACACCCACGTCGCCGCGCCGCCTCCGCACTGATCAAGGACACGCCCAACGCTCGTCCCCCAGCGTACACACAACACAACACTGTTGTACTGGAATTAGGTTAAATCATGCTATATTTAACAAAAAAAAATGTCCCTTCTCTCCTTAACCCCCTTCTTTGTCTCTCTCTCTTTCATATTGAGCTCTCTTTTCCTTTCTAACTGTCTCAACTTCCAGTCTAATCTTACTCCTTTCTCTAGTTCCCTACCTTTCTATTTTGCTCTGTCTTTTATCTCTCTTTCGTACCCTCCTATTGAGTTAATTTTCTATGCTTTTATCTTGTTAGCTTAGTATCTCTTCCCCTGTCTTCTATCCCTCTTCCGTTCTCTTTAATTCGTCTTTTTACGCCTCTGTCCGTCTTCCAATTTCATTATTTTCTTTTCCAGGTCACAGTGGGAAGTGGCCGGGCGACCTGCAAGCGTTCCGCTGCCTTAAGGCTGCGTTCCACCTGCAGATATCGGAGCGTCTCTCCCAGCAGTTCTCTCTCCCGGTGCAAGCGTACCCTACACACATCGATGTATTGAAGAACGGCCTCGTCTTCCGACTGAAGATAGCTCATCCGAAGGAGATCACTCTACTCCAGAGGGAGATGGAGAACGGAGTGGTGAAGCACAGGGAGAGTGAGGAGGCGGTTATGCTGCAGCGCGAGACTGTGCTGCTGCCCAGGGTCAGAGGAGCTCTGCACGGGTAATATACAGTTGTTTTATAATCTATTTCAAATCATTACCTTGTTTTTGGAAATAGGAGAATGACAGTAAACGTCACTTGCGTCGGCCATGACTCTTTTTTATGCTTTTATAAGATTTTTTTAAAATTAAGGCAAATAAAATTAAGTTCGATTTTTAGTAATTACACGACTGGCTCAATAGGCATATGCAAGTTTTTATGTAAGTCCGTTTGTGTGTAGGTTAATTAAATTGTAACACGCTGTAGATTAAACAATTAAATCGATTTGGATTAGTGAGGTGTCATACGATTCGTATTCTTATCCTGAATGTCATACAAGTACACCATCTGATTTTTTTTAATACAGATGAACTTGAATAAGCTAGAATCCAAAGGGAATGATACTTGTCTTGCTTATAAAGGCTTTTCTCTGACCTAATTATCTAGCTTAGCGAGGTTGTCTGACGAAACCAATGTCCTATAAGGACTCATTTAAACATAACCCGGCAAGCTCCAAACCGAGTGGGGTCGCGTCAGAGCGAGACAAACGTATGGGAATACATGAGAGCGCTATACAGCTAGTGACGTCATCCTCGGATAGTTCTGGAGTTAATATGTCAGTATGCATTATGTTATTTATCCCATCTAGCTTACATCAGAAGTATCCAGCATACGGTCCCGCAGCGTGCCTGATGAAGCGCTGGCTGTCAGCCCATCTCCTCTCACCCCCACACTTCCCCTCCATCCTGGCAGACCTGGTGACAGCAGCGGTGTTCCTGCGTCCAGCACCACTGGAGCCCCCCGTACAACCGCTGGCCGGTTTCCTCAGAGCTCTAAGGATACTGGTCGACACGGATTGGTCCAGAGAGATGATTTTATTGGACTTCAATAATGATATGTCACGTAAGTTGGACGGGATTTTGGATTTTAGGGCCAAATATTTGGCTGTAATTATATTGTTTTTTTTATATAATAAGATGGCAACGAGCGAGCGGCCACCTGATATCACTGAAATAGCGAAGTGACTGTTGCCCATAAACATACGCAATTGCATATGCGTTGCCTACCTTTCATCGACGGAGGAGAGGATGCACAGAATGAAAATATCTTCCCTTTCCATGCATCCTCTCATCCGGAAAGTCCACTTCCACTTCCCATCGTTTCCTTAAAAGAAAAACTGTGGGAAGGAAAAGAGGACTAATTTTGGCCTCCGGGACGCACACTCATCTGACTGCACGTGTCTTCTGTATGGTCGTGGTATATCACCGGACGAGCCGGGACTATTCCTGCGAACATGTTAAAGCGGGCTCTACCACTGTTAAGACCTTTACGTGACATAATAGATGAACCATTAAATATGTTAATATATAATTAAGATTGCCTTTTACTTTAATTTTCTTTATATATTTTTTCTAGGCGAAGAAATAACAGAAGTAGAACGTCAGTTCAACGAGACAGATGAGAGAGGTGTTATGTACATAGTGACGTCATATGACGGCGACTTCCCCTCGATATGGAGTAGACAGGCGCCCACAAAGCAGGCGCTGCTCAGAGTTACCACTATTGCCTCTGCTACTCTCAATTATTTAGAAAAAGCTTTAATTGACGAATATAAAGATAATATATTGGTGAGTAATAAATTATATGTTCTAAATTCGACCTTAAATCTAGTTATAATTAAAGTATTTATCCTTTTTTACTTTTGTATATTTCTTTAAAAAACGAGAATAAAGTTTTTACTTCACATCTTAATATAATAGATAAAATAAGTAGAATAATAATTTTGGCTTATAAATGTGTAGTTCTGATTGTTAATCATTTTTATTACATTCTTAGTTAGACGTATATACTCGTTAAATATAGATTTCTCTTATTAAATCCACATTAAGTCACGTTGTACAACTCTGAGTGCAATAATAAAGCATTATAATCAAACAAAGTTATGGCATTAAAAGTGTCTTAAGGTTAAGTAATCACAAGTATATAACTAACGACACATTTAAAATGAAAAATCTACACTAAGACCCCAAGTATCTATATAAGAACTGAAAATCACTAACCTCTATACATAGACAGGCTATGTACTATGATATTTAGTCATTATCATTCATCATCATCAGTTCACTATACGTCCCCACCGAGGGGCTCGGAGTCTACCCTAAGTTAAGGGTGATTAGGTCATAGTCAACCACGCTGGCCAAGTGCGGGTTGACTTCACACATATCTTTGAATCACTTCTCAGATATGTGCAGGTTGCATCACGATGTTTTCCTTCACCGTAAGAACGTCGTATAAATGTACATATGTAAATTGGAAATCGAAAAACATATTGATACATGGCGGGATTCGAACCCAGGACATGCAGATTGCAAGTCGAGTGCTTGACCACTGAGCCACCGACGCTCTTCGATATTTAGTGCCAATTAGATTTTTAAATGCAAAATAGATATAGCCATAACAAAGCAAAATATGTAATTTCTAAGTTCCTGTATCTATAAGGGTCAATAGTATCAAAAATATATGTATATCCAGGGCGTGTTCGTGCCTTCTCTATCCGGATATGACGCACTTATTCATCTGGCCACGCCCCTCGTGCCGCACACCTGCGAGCGTGTGGGCCACGCCCCCGAGCGCGCACACCACGCCCACAACAATCGGAATAAAGCTGATGATGTATTAGATGATGTAGTGCCTGTCGTAGACTTCAACCCTGTTGCTAAATACCTTCACGAGTTAAGGGTGAGTTTTATACTATAATATATATATATATATATATATATATATATAAATAGAGAAGATTTGTTTGTTTGTATTGAATAAACTCCAAAACTTCAGAACTGTTTTAAAAAAATTCTTACTGATGGAAAGCTAGACTATCCTCGGGTGACATGAACTATACTTATTACTAGATTTAGTTAAATTACATTTTAAGAGGAAGTCGCGGATAATTACTAGGTAATTGTCACTATTTCTTTCTATGCATCCTCTCCTTCGTCAATTAAAGGTAGGCAACGCATATGCAATTGCGTATATCTATGGGCAACTGTCACTTCGCTATTTCAGCGATTTCAGGTGGCCGCTCGCTCGTTTGCCACATTATGATATATAAAAAAAAATACAGGGAATCTAGTTAAGTAGTCAAGGTTATAATGAACCAGATTTGTTAAATGTACAATATAGTTTTATTATTATAATATTTCAGAGCGCGTACAGTGAATTCGCGTTGTTTTTCAACGATTGTTACGGCGGTGACGTGATCGCGGTGTTGTGGCGACCTGATATCGACCGATTAAAAGATTTCCAGGTAAAATATTTATTATAATTGTTTATTCCACTTTCATTAAAAAGTTTAATTTAACGTTTTATCATACTAATAATATAAATGCGAATGTTTAGATGGATGTTTGGTTAAAGGAGTCCCGGAACACCTCAACAGTTCTTGAAATTTAACACAAATGTAAAACATAGTCTGGAAGAACACATATTCTATAAGTTTTTTTTAATCCCGCACAGACGGAGTCGCGGGCGACAGCTAGTATTATATATTTTTTTAGTAAAACACACTTTTTGCCTAACGCTGACCAATTATTTGTGTACAGCTTCTTTGTGCTATGTAAAGTGAGGTTAGGATTAGTTTTGGCGCACTTTTGTCAATTTTGACAGCTGTCATTCTAACCTCTAAAAAGTGATCGATAAATGTGAAACACAATTATTCGAATATTACGAGAAATCGATTCACACTTTTTTAAATTTCAAATAAACAAGTTTATTATTTTATAAATTTATTTTTAAACTAAATTTTAGAGTAACTTTTTTTACATTTAATAGAATATTTGATTTATATTATTAATGTTTTTAGATTGCAAATGCGAATGGTCTAATGCCAGTGGAGACAGACGGCGAGACAAAATACAAAGTGAACAAGCAAGCTTTGTTGCAAGACTTCAGGATACTGGGCCGGGGACTTGTCCTAGATATTACAGTTACATAAGAAATGTTATTTTATTCAAATAAATAAACTTTAAGACATAAACATCTGATTTTATTTATATTTTCCTATAATTTTAACAAAAAAAAAACAGTTTTCCTGAACAATTTTTATTAAATCTTCATGAAAGTAACACTTATAATGATAAAAACATTTATATATTGTTCAAATAGCATCATTCAAACAAAAATAGATAAGAAAAACTATCGAACAATATCTTAAACCAATCTTTATAACACAAAGTTAGCGACAACACCAAAAACTAGCACAAACATGGCAACCCCGGGTGACACCGCGGATGACGGCTCGATTTCTCTAGCGCGGACGAAGTATGGCAACACGTCCAATGGAGCGGGGAAGTCCCTGATCCAGGTCGGGCCGACCACCTCCCGTTCCCTGTCTCCCTCCTCCCACCACACGCCCGCCGGCAGGTAAATGTCCCGGGAGGTCGCTCCCTCCTCCAACACAGGCGCTACTAAGATATTCTCTCCCAATAGGTATTCTGGAATAATACCATTTTAAGTAAAAATCTATTTTAAGAATGTTTATCATTGAAATATTAAAAATAAATCGCTTAAAATATGCCAAGATTATTTTAAATCAATGAATTAATTGACTAAGGTCTCTTTTTCTTCCGAGGGGAATGCTTTATGCATACTCCGCGCCCCCAGGGGGGGGGAGACGCGGTAGTTATGTGGGATTCTCTTCCGGATGGGAAGCATACCCACAAAACCCCTCTGTTCCTCCTACGCATCATGGCGAGGCCAAGGGTACGCTTGCGCTTTCATCCGCGACCATTGACTAAGGCCTAGTCAGGGCTAGTCAAGGCTTCGAGCCCCTCAGTGGAAGTATAGTGAGTTGTAATTCTAATTTATGATAAATGAATAACAATAATTCGGCTATTTGTGAGAATCTACTATATTTACCGTCCCAGATGTTGAGTGCGTCCTCATCAGTGGGGTCTATCCACCAGAGCGGCGCGTTCACCGGCCGGCCTGACTCCACCGCCGCCTGCATCGCCGCGTATATCTCATCACCGTACTCCGCGTGCAGCTCCGTGTACTTCTTGCTTATCTCCACCGTCTGACAGAAATAAAACCATATTCCTACTGAAAATACACATTTTATAACATAGCTCATACTAATTTTTTGTATTTTACTGCAAATGCTGTTTGGAAATAGCAATCGATTGTTTGTGAATAACTAATAAATATATATAACTAGGTGTTGTCCGTGACTTTGTTGGCGTGAAATTGTAAAAACGCAACCTCTGTGTCATACCAGAATGTGATTTATCGCTGTCACTCATTTAGATCCGTTCATTCGTTCTTGATTTACATGTTAACAAAAGTCTATAAATCTATTAAAATATATTTGAAAACAAAAATAAAAACATAATTAGAAGCCAATATCTTCCAGACTATATTCTACATTGGCCTTTCAGCGAGATTCATGCAGCCGTTCCTGAGATACCGTCTTACAAACCTCCAGCCATCCATTTAAACAATCGCATTTATAGGTAAGGCATTAAACCTTTTTAACTTACTTCATTATCAAAGTTCCACGGCACGTAAGAGTACTGCATGACTGGAAGGAAGGTGGTGGCCTGCACCCAGCGAATGAACAGCTCCTTGGTGGGAATATCCGCTTGCTCGTGGTCCAGGTTGTACCCATTGCCTCCGATCATGTCCGGCAACACAAGTCCGTATCCCGCTAAGTTCATCTGAATTGCTGTCGTCACGATAGTAGATAGACCGTTGTTCAAACCCCAGATAGAGTCGCGGTCTACCATGCGCACGAAGATAGGCAGGTCTTGCGTTCTGGATGAATTTACAACGTTGAAAAGATACCTCGTAAATAGGTAGAGATTACAGATTCAGAAGTCATTGTTTCAATGTAGTGTACACCAAAGTTAGACGGTTTGTCAAATTCGTGACTTAAGCTAGACAGAATAGTTACCTGAAGCCAGCTCTGACCTCGACCATGTCTCCGAAGCGCGCGGCAAGGCGGGCGTAAGCTTCTACAATGTTATGGGGCTGTAGATCTATGTCACCGGTCTGTACCGCTACCTAAATTACACCAAACGTACCAACGAATAAAAAAAGCGGGAAATAATTCCTAATTTATTGAAAAGGTTATGTTTCTTGGCTAGGAATGAAAAAAATTGGCAAGTCCTTATCGAGTCATTTAGGTAGATCTATAGGAATTGTAAGGATCTTTGAATTTCGAAGTACTTTATAAGTGTATTTTATATTTTTTAGATTCTCTAGGAAAGGATACACTGCTGATAACTTTGTGACGCCTTTTACTTATGCATTTTAAGCTGACTTCTCGTTGGTAAGAAAAGACTAAACTAACCTGTGGTGTGAAGCTACTCTCGCCTCCGTCAAACTTTACGCTATCAATGTCATAAGTATCAAGCAGATTCCTGATACGTTCGTACCACCACTCGGCGGCTTCGGGGTTAGTGAAGTCGATGTAGCCAGGCACTGAGCCGTTGTTGTTCCACCATGTCGTCGCCGGCTTACCTGCCTCGTCCAGCACCAAGTAACTGGAAAGATAAACGAGCAACAGTTGACAAAGCATGAAATATTAGAAACAGTTGAAACAAGTCTATTTTGTAACAGATCTAAAACAATTTAGATTATTTTTAACACCTTTTATAATTCAAATTTTAATTCTGATCTTGTATTATACAGAAAGTCGATATGTGGATGGATAAATAAGTCCAGTCGTATGAACTACATATTATTCTTTATATTCTTACCCGTTATTCAAAGCCTGAGTGTATATCGGCTCGCAGTTGTTATTTATGAAGGGATGCATCCAGATGGTGACGCGGAATCCCATCGCTTTCAATTCCTGCACCAGACCCGTCATGTTGGGGAATTTAGACTGATCCACCTCCATTGTCCCGTAGCACGTCTCCCACAGATCATCGATCTCCAGTTGGGAATCACTAAAGCCATATCCTCTAATCTGCTTTGCAAACTCTAGAACTTTCTCTTGGTTTACGTCTCTGGAATACTGCGCCCAAGTAGACCAAATTGGATGCTGAACCATTCTGTAATCAGGTACTCCTGATGGTTTGCCTAAATAATTGACTATCGCATGTTTGTGAGCTTCTTTAACATTGGGAAGGAACCAGAGATCGTAACTTAGTTCTATATGATTTCTTCTTGTCGAGTAGGGTTCAGAGATTTGTGCTCCAAAGCAAATGTGGTTGGGGACGATATTGTTGTAGTCGACGAACAATGGTACTTGTGGGTGCACGTAAATGTACTCCCCGGCGGAGTTGAGCCAGTATCTCTCGACGATGGCGCCGTTGTCCTGCTCTTTAGAGAAGTACGGGGTGTACACTTGCTTAGCGCTCTCTATCGGGTACATTTGTTCGACTTGCATTGGTCCGCCGTACCAGTGTTTTGTGCCTAAATATATATAAATAAAATAATACTCGTTTCACTGCAAAGTGAGAGTCCCATTCATTATCTTTGTAACCTAAAATTATTAGGTAATAATTTAAAGCAGTCTCTTACCAAAATCAAAGCAGTCTTCCAGTCGGAGTGGCGTAAGTGAGTTCCACTTAATCTTGATGCCTCTAGCGTCAGAAGCGTCGTCATAAAGTGTGTGTATAGTCAGATTGACACCTCCGATATGTATCTCCATGCCACCCTCCACCTCCTCGGCGGTGTACGTGGAGACCAGAGTGCGTCCGATGTGGCCGTACACTGTGCGCTCATTGTCTGACGGAATTAAATTAATTAGCCACTTGTTCTTTTGTAAAATATACGGCTACAAATAATCAACCTCATCATGGAACAATGTAAAGAGTTTGAATGCATTGCCAACCCTTGTTAAAAATGTCTTGTTATAATAATAAGAATGGACTATGAAAGGTTTGGAATCTCTGTGTGGTTTTATTTGACAATAATAATTAAACCCCAGAAAATCCTTCCACTAAGTAATTGTAGATCAAATTGGATATCTATGTTTGTATACCTTTGTCCAAACTGAGCTGGAAGCCGCCAGTGATCTGTGGCTCTAGGGACAGCGTGACGTCATCAGCCCGCGATGGTAGCGCCACCGAGAACGCGCGGGCGCTCAGCGTCGCCAAACCTTCACACAAGACAAGGAGTATTAGAGGGAGAGAATCAATGTTTGATAGAAATACGAGACACAATACTCTTGTTAATATTGTAGAAAGTCTAAATTCAAGTGTTTAAGATCTACTGGTCTTTTCAAATATCTTGTGGGCTCAAGGTCATGTGCGTGCTGCGCTGAAATTACGTCCGTCGCTCTCGCTAGAAGTTGCGAACCAGCAAGATATTTGAATACACTTATACTTATTTTAATCATCTGTCTTCTTACATGGAGATGGCTTCTTTGTGACGGTTGTATGGATTTAAGTATTATTAATATAAACTTACCTAGTAATATTCCTAGAGCCGCCATGGCAGTGGTCTGACTGAGATAGTGTCATATGTCTCCTCAATGCCATAATCTTATCCCCATCTTATCGATCGCTCTCAAATCTGCCACTTGTAATTTTTACAATTCATCTCGATATTTCTTTTATCTATTTTGCAATCGCTACACGTCTGTCGTTTCTATAACGTTGTGGTTATTTATATGGAAAATAGTACAGTGTACTTAAATTAACATCGGTAAATCGAGGGAAAAGATTTGCAGTCGTAGCGCATCAAACAAAAAACGAAAATGTAAAACGAGTTCGAATCTCACTCGCCGTAAATTAATTTATTTTATCTGTCAGGTTTTTTCTCGATTTTATTCGAATATTGTATGTAAGAAAGTGCTACGTATAACATAACTGTTTAGTTTGAATTTAAAAAATGTATAATTTTAAAATCTCTGTTTCATAAAGCAGTCAACAGATGGCGCTATCTCATCTATTAGAGCCTTAGTCCTACGGGGTTACGTGTTGGTGGGTGGCAAAAACTTTAAGGGTTATTGCCGCAAAGTGGCCTCTTTTAGGTTTAGTATAAAAAGTCTACACCACGTCTCTCTTAATACTGCTAGGAAGAAAATCCGAAAATGTGGCAGAGTATTGACCTAACACTACTTACTTACTCCGCTGGCGCATCGACCCAAATATATACCAAGAAAAGGGTCAAAGTAAACAAAGAAGACCTACTAGACGTGGAGAAACTTAAGGACCCAGCTACAGGCCCAATTCCAAATAGAGACCAGCAACAAATTTAGCGAACTAAAGATAGACGAAATGGACATAGAAGACCTTTGGGAGAATGTTAAAGACACAGCCAAGCAAGTGGGCTTATAGACAATAGGCAGAAGGAAAAGAAAAAAGAAAAAGTGGTGGTCAGAAGACTGCGAGAAAAAGACCCAACACTAGTTTTACTAAAATGTCGACGTTTGTGTCCTTCATTCATTCCCTCACTCGACTTTGTAACGAAAGCACGTTATTCGCGCCAAAGGACTCTAATTAATAATGTCTAAAAATACCAAAAATATTAAACTTAGTTTGGCAGCAAGTTACGCTTTAATTTTGTACATCATCATCATCATCAGCTGACTACACGTCCCCACCGAGGGGTTCGGTGCCTACCCTAAGTTAAGGGTGAATTTATTTATGTAATTTTATACATTATAGTGTAAAATATAAGCTTGAATAACTCAGCGTGTAACTGCTTGCTATAAAATCTAACGGGTTCGATTCTACTCTAAAATCTTAATTATCGATTTTCACTAAACAAACTCTTGTTTCTGGTTTTTTTTCGATACGATATATTTCACTTTTGAAATAGTTTTAGCCACTCGTTTGTCCCCTTGGCTACTCGGTTGGTTACTCTTATTAAGGTTGTTTACACATAATATGGTTTATAAAAGTTCCTCTAGGGTTTACTTTAGGACGATTTAAAATAAAAACCTGTCATATAAATTTCTTGATAGCCAATCTTAGGATTATATAATAATAAAACACCATAGATAAATAATATTTAAAAAATTTAATAATTTATTGATTTTGTATCATTATTATGATATATTAAGTGTTGGAAATAGTTGGTCTAAGGATATCACTTTCCGAGCAGGAAATTGGATAACTTGTGAAATAGACATTACTTCACGAGCAAGGAATCCGTCAGGATAAGGGATATTATTTATCGATCAGGAATTATATCAGTTTGGGAAACGGATATTTGATTTGGAGCAGAAAGTATTAGGGCTGAGATATCACTTCTCGAGCAGGAAGTAGGGCAGGGTATCGAGGGGTGCGGGGTAGTCGCGGAGCCAGACGGGGCCGGTATGTAGCGAGCCGTCAGGAGCGCGCCAGTTGCCTCGCGGCAAGTAGATGTCGCGAGAGACCGCGCCCTCCGACAACACGGGCGCGGCCAACACGCGCTCGCCCAGCAAGAACTCTGTACAACATGAACGTCACATCATACCAGCAACAGGCAAAGCCTATAAGTTCATGCATCACAGCAAACACGATTTCCTACGTAAAGGAGAAGAAATGTTTCTATATGATACATTAGTATGAGGAAATCCTCGTAAACTTTAGCTACTTGTACTGGGTAACCAATTTTATTTACATTTGCATATTTTCCTGAGTGTACGTAATGTGTCTTGTTCTTTTCTATGACCACTCTTTTCTAAAAAGGACTGACAAAACTCTAATTCTGTTTAGGTATCGTTTTCTATAATTATGTGATGTTTATGTTGGCAGCACATACCGTCCCACACAGCGAGTGCAACCTGGTCAGTGGGGTCGAGCCACCAGACCGGCGGGTTGACAGGAGTTCCACTCGACACCGCCTCCTCCATGGCGGCCGCGATCTCGTCCGCGAACTCCGCGTGCAGCTGCGTGTACTGACGGCAGATCTCCACCGTCTGGAGATACAGAAACGAATTCAAGGAACATACTGAGAGAAACTTGGCATTCTTTAAATGTAAGGAAACTACAGAATTTATTATTATATTTTTGCCAAATTTAAAGGAATCCGTTTAACTTTGGCAAAAATATTTTCGACTAAATCAAAACATTTCCGTACCTCATTATCATGGTCCCAAGGCACGAAGGAGTACTGCAGCGTGGGCATGAAGACATTAGCCTGTAGCCAGCGGATGAACAGCTCCTTGCTTGGCTTCTCATTGTATCCGTTGCCACCGATCATATCGGGCAACACCAGGGGATAGCCGTTAAGGTTCATGGCGAGGAGTGTAGTCACCAGAGTCGCCAGTCCGTTGTCAAAGCCCCACAGCGTGTCCTTGTCCACCATACGCACGAATACGGGTAGGTCTTGGGTCCTGGATCAAGAGAAATCAAGAAATTAGTCAAACTTATCACATTTCCAGCACTTTCTACTTCAAATTCAATAACTGCTACCGCATTCCAGCGCGGATTTCAATCATAGGCCCGAATTCTGCAACTGTCCTGACGTAGTCACGCACAATATGTCCTGGATGAAGGTCGATATCGCCGTTCTGTACTGGGATCTAGAAAAAAAATGTTTAAATTATGCGTCCATAATCCATCCATCTGCAAAGATATATTTTTTCGTTTAAAATGAACCAATATTAACATGATTCATTTAATCAGTCACCTGAGGAGACCAGCTGGACTCTCCGGCGTCAAACTTAAGACTGTCAATGTCATATGTCTCGATGAGGTTCTTGATCCTGGATGAATACCACTCAGCGGCGTCAGGGTTGGTGAAGTCGATGTAGCCCGGCACTGAGCCGTTGTTGTTCCACCACGACGAGTCAGGACTGCCATCCTCGTTGAGAACTAGGTACCTTATAACATAAAGATCAGTCATTTTAACCATTTATTACAGAGCTTGTACAAAAGCTACTAACGTGCTACTTAATTATGAATATAAATATTAAACTGAAACAAAACCTTACTAACCCTTTATCTAAAGCTTCACTGTACCAAGGATTGCAGTCTTTGTTAATGAACGGATGAACCCAAATAGTGACTCGGAACCCTAGACCTTTGATGTCCTGGATCAGTTTTTTGAATTCAGGCAGTTTCCTTTCATCAACTGTGAGTGAACCGTAGCAGATCTCCCATAGATCATCGATCTCGAACTGAGCGTTGGGAAATCCGGTGTTGGCGATCTCATTGGCGAAATTCCAGAGGCTGTTCTGATCGATTTCACGAGAGTAACGCGCCCAAGTCGACCATACTGGGTATTGGATCATCCTGTAATCTGGGATTCCAGTTGGTTTGCCCAGGTATGTCTTGACGGCGTGCATATGCGCGGTTTTGGGGTCATCGAACTGCCAGATATCGTATTTGAGAACGTTGTGTGTTCTCTTAGTGGAGTAGGGGTCCGCGACCTCAGCAACAAAGCAAATATGGTTTTCAAGGATGTTGTGGTGGTCGACGAAGAGAGGCACCTCTGGATGAATGTAGATATACATTCCTTCAGAATTCAGCCAGTATCTCTCCGAAATGGCAGAGTTGTCGGCCTCCTTTGATATGATAGAGTATTTCTGGATCTTTGATTTCTGGATCGGCCATTGCTGGTCTTTTTGTTCCGGACCACCGTACCATTGTTGGTCTCCTATTGGGAAAATCAATGTTTAATTTGATTCGCTACGACCAGTTAGATAAAATAAAAGTATTTTTTACATATTTTTTACCGAAGTGAAAAATATGATGAGTCATTTTGAATTTTCCATTACTACAGTTGATATCGTTTCATATTTTTATCCTAAACGGATGCGGAGAAGTATAGCTTTTAGATAAGATTATGTCACATTTGAGTAGCGAAGCTGGCTATTGTTACAACCACAAGAGGCAAGGAAGTTACATAAGATTCCCTAAGATTACACTAATACTCGGTACAAAACAACAACCTGTACCATTGATAAGATAAAATTTATAAGCCCAATAAGTTCTCCTGAGAGGGTAGGAAGTATTTAAACAAGTTATTTCATCATCAGCTCACTATACGTCCCCATTGAGGGCCTCAGAGCCTTCCCTCGGTCAGTGACTAGGTCATAGTCAACAACGCTGACTCAGTGTGGGTTGACTTCAAACATATCTTTGAATTTATTGCAGATATGTGCAGGTTGCATCACAATGTTTTCCTTAACCGAAAGAACGTCGGATAAATGTACATCGAAAACCAAAATACACATTGGTAGATGGCGGGATTCAAACCCAGGACCTGCAGATTACAAGCAAAGTGCTTAATCCCTAAACCATTGGCGCTTTAAGAGGTTATTTGCCTCTCGTTAATGTGTCAAGCAAATCCTAAAATCATTTTTAATTCAATGCAAAAAGATGAGGGTCTACATATGTTATGCTAACCAAAGTCAAAGCAGTCTTCAAAGATCCTGTCAGGGGGTCCGTCCCAACGCACGGAGAGTCGCGTGCCACCGTTCTCTTCGTCATACGAGGTGGTAAGCTCGAAGGTCACTTCGCTGTCCTCCGCAGACGCCCTGCGACCGATCTGACCTAACTTCTTCTCACCATTGTCTATAAAACAATACACGTAACAATAATTTGAGAAATTCTTCAGAAATTTGATAAATTCTGAACTGAGGGCAAATTTTGAATTGGAAGAATTGTTTACAAGTTGATGAATCAGTTGTAAACTGTTGCCAGTTTGTAAACTGACGAATAAACTTATCGTATGGTGATTATTACGACTTACCACGAGTGACAGTAAACGTGTAGCCTCCGTTCTCATCCTGATTTATTGATAAGCCTCGATTGTGCTCCTTTTGAGGAGCAGCGACCACTAAGGTTGCCCCTGGATAGACGAACAATTGAAATATTATCATTTCTGGACGAATAAGCAGCTGCGATATGTCTGTTTTTAATTTTCTGTTTTTAAAATATCGCAATTACTATAGTTTTCAAATAAAAAAAGCGTAATCTATAAAAAAAGTTTATTTTAATTTTAACTAGATGGCGTTATTCTCATTTTGTTGATGGATTACTAATTTTATTTAAATATTTCAAAATCAGCAAAAAGATAAAGTTTGATGCAAATTTTCAAACATATGTGCAACTTTTAGACGTCATATAGATAAATAGTTAAAGGTCAAACAAATAGAATGTCACTAAAAGATAATTCATAACATAATATGTATTCCACGTACTTTGAATTAACCCGTGAACATTTAATCATAATTAATAATCATTATATCTCATTGTAGACAATGTTTTCATATTTTATTAGACCGTACCTGCTAAGAATAACAGCCACTGCATCTCGGACGCACAGTGTACACTCACGGACAATCGAATAATACGCGGCTATTTATCAACTGTCGTATCACCGATCACTTATCATCGATTCTCTCCCAGTGTATGGATAATGACAGATATCTACATCTCACAAATCCCCCGCCAGCCAGCTACAGATGTTTTTTTTTATTTACGTAACGAATTTATATAATAAAAATAACTATCAAATCAAATTGATCGTTCTTCTTTACAATATACTAGCTGTTGTCCGCGCCGTATTAAAAAAACATAATGAGTAACCTATGTGTTCTTCCAGATTATGTTCTATATGTATGCCAAATTTCAAGCCAATCCGTTCAGCCGTTCTGGATATCAAAGAAACATCCATCCATCCGCCCAAATATTTGCATTTATATATTATATATAGTAGGAAGTACGATAGTAAGAAGTTCTAGCTGTGCTAGTCACTTGCACTTCTATACAAATTTCCACCCTAACTTTCACCCCTTACAATCCTTTTTTCGCATTTAAAAGTAGCCTATTTCATTTGTCATGCTTTGAATCATCTATTTTCCGAATTTCATTTAAATCGGTTCAGTAGTTTTGCGTTTTGTAGACAGACATACAGACAGAATTACTTTTGCATTTATAATATAAAAATAAAACAAGTATTCACAGTGTGTAGTTAATGGAAATTAATATTTTAAAATACAAACGGAAAAACGACAAATATATCTTTTTTTATCTAACTCTGTTAGTATTTATTTAAATGATATGTTGTTGTTTTTTTACTTATTTTTTTTTTAGTTTGTTTTTTCAATTTGATCATTAGAAAGACACAGAAAAATCTAGAAACCTCCTGTATACCTCTAGTTTTTTACAATTTCGGTAAATACGCTTTATATCTTTACTAAAAATAATTCTGAATAAGTCTTGTTGTCCATCGTATGTTATCACACCATTCATATATGAAGTGCGTTAGTTTATCTGTTTTATAAGATACCAGTCCGTGACTCCGTCCGCGCGGAAATAAGAAAAGTTAATAAGTTAAATGTAACGATGACATTCATAGTAAAGTTGTGATACGGTAACGTAATCGTTACTTTATTACGATTGCTTTATTACTACTTTTAGTAATTACGGCTAAGATATACATACAGACGTATTATACAGACTTTCAAATTGTAACGGAATAAAAGAGCTCTAGAATAACTTAATTAATGATATATCAAAGAATAATTCAATGCTTCATATAATATTAATTTATTCAATGGAGGCGTAGCATGAAAATTTGCGACAATTGTATTCGTATCGCTATCGTCATTTATGTTAAAATTAGTGTAAGATTTTTGGTGTATTTTACGCACGACAAGCACCAAATTTTATCGATGGCTATACGAACAAAGAGTATATAAAATACGAATGATACGAAGCGCTTGCTACAAGTATTCGTGCTAAGCTACTGACCACTATACATGGATAGGCTATAATCTTGGTATTTTGTGCTCATTTGATCATCGCCATTTTGGCGCTGACTGTTGTGGTTGGTAGCGGTGGTGAGGATTCGAACTAATAATAGTGATAGAATTAACGGTCAGGAACTTAAACAGGCACGTTTAAGTCGGAATGACGCAAAAGCTGTCATTTCCAAGCAACGACCAATCCTAAGCCTATCCATTTATATAAATCACTAGTACATTGCATAGATAAAAAATAAATAAAGGCTAGTTGTCGTTGACTGATTTTTGTGCTTGTTTACCTCATGTCAATGGAAATGGAACGTCACTAAAAGAAAAACAAAAGTAGAATACGCCGCACTGTGACGCCGCACGAGTAGAAGGATCGGTAATTGGTTTTTACAATAATGGCAGATCCCAGAATTAGACAAATCAAGATTAAAACTGGCGTCGTTAAGCGTATAGCCAGAGAAAAAAGTTTGTATGAAAAGGAGGCTGAAGAACAAAAGGATAAGGTACAAAAATTTAAGGACGAAGGCCAAGACGAACACGACATTAGGAAGCAAGAGGAGGTGCTTCAGGAGTCGCTGATGATGGTTCCTGATTGCCAAAGAAGGTATGTAACAAGTAAAAAAGATGTTTACATTCTTATACTGCCAGAAAAATAACAACAACTTAGATTCCAATCGTATTTACTGTAAAAATACAAGTTTTATTAACATCTGTTTGATAGGTTATGTGCGTAAATTCGGCCTTATCAGTATTTTTCTTTGGTGTTTTACTTTTGGTGCTTAGAAATGGCTAAGGTTGATAAATTAAATCGTTTAATTCTTTTTTTATAACTATTTCAGTTGTGGCGTAATACTGTACATCACGACTGACGCTTATTTTGCGTGAGGCGTAATAACGATGAGTCCTCTCGATTGACATTGACATTCATTGTTTAAGTTATTTTTAAAGTTCTCAGTTCGTAGTAACTACTTTTAAAATAATTTAGTATCAGTTAAAGCATTGACGTAAAATCTATCCTAAAATTGTAAAATGTAGGTTCCTTTTTTAGAAATTTAACTATTTTTTTATTTTTACAGGTTATTAAAGGCGCACGCAGATTTGAAGTCAATACTGGAGAGTGAGCAAGACTTAAAAGAGAACGAAGATTACATTGCTGCAGAGCAAGTGCTGAAAGAGGCTGAGAGTCATCTGCCCGAATCAGCATAACATTTCACAACATCCCTTATTTCTATTATATATTAATCACTTATAAATCATGTCTAATCCTAATTTTTATAATGATTTTCAAAGTAGTTTTACATTCCACGGCAATAATGCTGCCCCTCCACCTTTCTTCTCGGTCCCACCTCCACCCCGTCCTATGCACCCACCTCCATTTGCCCCACCAACTGACCAGGACTTTATCAAGTCCTTTGAACGGTATATAGGAAAGTGTGATGTTGAAAATCCCAAAACTGACTCTATATCTGTTGTACGTGAAAAAATATCTAATTTAGTACACACTCTTGATGAATTAAAAGAAAAAGAGAGGATATTACAAGAGAATGTTGATAATTTTACGGATGGAGAATGGGATTTTCATATGAAAGACATAGAAAATAAGAAAGCAAACACAAGAAGAATGTTACATGTTATCAATGACCTGTATATTGATAATGCTAGGAAGCTTCTCGCGAAACGAGCATCAAAGAGATTACGAATGAAGAGAATGAAATTGGAAAGGAGTCGGGAAAAGAAAGAGAGAATGCAACAATTGGAAGAAACATCTAGAAAAATAGATGAGAATTTGAAGAAAATTCAAGATGACATTGAAAAATCTAAACAGGTATGTTTAGTCTTTTATTTTGAAATATTAACAACTCTTTATAATAGATTCCTATAAGATAGACAAAATTTATCTTAAATATTGAAGAAAATACTTACCTCCTTTTCAATCAATCAATATCAAGAAACTGAGGTCTCTTATTCTTGATGTTCCTTTGCACTAATTTCTTTGTCTAGATAAATTAAAGCTCATTTTATTTAACATAGGAAGCTGAAGCGAAGTTACACGCGGATATTGTCTTGAAAGAAGTGATGCGTAAGAAGACTGATGCAAAGAAATGTCTAGTGAAACTGGATGCTTTGTTGCGCCTGCGCCGCGCCAGACTCAACACGGCTAAGGGCAGGGGAGAGACTGTGGCAGAACATGAGACGGTGGCATTTGAGAATAATATTGGTATGTGTTATATGTTGGTCTTCCTTCTGCTGCTGAAGTTTACAAGTTTTTAATTATATTTTTGTCTTCTTTTCAATGAGAGTGAGAGAGATAAAAGTATTAAAAAAAGTGTATTATGTTAGTAGTAGTACATTGAAAATTCCAACTAACTTTATTCACGACTACATTTTCTTGTTAACATTTCCCGCGCGATTCTCTTTTTTTTCATTTATATTTTTTCATAATTAAAAAGGCAAAGGTTCTCAGTGGCCAGTGTGCCATGTTTATGGCAGAATGTTCAATTATGCAATTAACAGAGGGGATGATAATAAGAAAGGTAATTTGATTCTAAATAAAATCTCTCGCATGTTGTAATGTTTTATTTATTTTTAGAGAAATTAAAGCAACTCTGGTCGAAAAAATTGGAAATTTATGATAAGGAAGAGAATGATTTGCGCGCAACGCTGAAAGACAGCTCCGATGTCAAGTCAAATGTTATTGAAACAGATGAGGTGTTAGAGAATTTGAAACAATGGAGAGAAATCCTTTTCGGTGACCGTCTGCCGCAAGTTAACTTTAAAGGAGATGCTAATAAATTTGTTTCTATAAGGTAATAATGTTAGTTTTGATTTACCTTTCAAACTTTTTTTTTATTGTTTTAACCAAATATCTTAAATCATTGTAGATAAAAAAATACCCTTATGTTAGTGGGGTGTTCAATTTTTTTTTAAATTTTGATGAAACTTTGGTAGGATGTTATTAGAGGTGTTTCCAATTGGGTCTATTGAATACAGAGAATTAAAAAAACAATTGAATCAATGAACTACTTTTTTCATTGTGTTGATTGAGTTTATAGAATCAACTAGCAGACCTGACAGACATTGTCCTGTCTACACGTCTTTAATTTGAATAAATTAATATGAAGTTAATATTTGATGAAAATTGTGAATCTAAACCATTCCCAGATCCCCTTGAACACACACAAAAAATTTCATCAAAATCGCTCCAGTCGTTTGAGAGAAGTTCAGTGACATACACACAGAAGAATTATATATATATAAAGATTAGACCAATGGGGAAACATTTGTTCCGAGTTGTGATTACTTAGTAGAATGTATTAAGTAGTTTTTAATAGTATTTTAATGTATTTTAGGTGCGAGTGGGACAAGTATGTATGTACAACTGGGTCTGCATTGCCGTTGGGCTGGGTGGTGCCCAACCTGCAGCCTTGAGTGGAAAGCTACGAGGCTACTTTAATTTGCTGCCGTGTACGCAATGGCTTTAATGCTTGCATTTATAAAAGTTTTTTAATAAAGTATTTTTTATGTACACTTTGTTTTATTTATAAAAGTACAACCTAATGTTCTTGCTAATATTATGAATGCGAATATTTAGATGTATGGATGATTGTTTGAAGGTATCTTCAAAACGGCTGAACGGATCTCGCTGAAATTTGGCATAGATGTAGAACATTGGGAGATGGCTACTTTTTTTTTTAATTCCATGCGGACGGAGTCGCGGGCGACAGCTAGTTTGATTAAACCGTAATATTGTTTTTGGATCTTATTTTGGTTTGCGGGTAAAATAAGATAAGAAATAACAGAGTCAAATCATTTTTAATTATCTTCATTTTGTCATCGGTAATAAATTACACAAAACTGTAGATATTGTATTTTGTTCCATATTCTATCTAAAAACTTATTTATAAAGGCTCTTAAACTAATATAATTTATTTCCTATTTTTTTACACATTTCAATCTCCATTTTTTATATAAAAATTCAAATTTTGTATTTTATATGAAGGCATATTATTGCGGCAAATGTTTTACAAAACAAATATATGCCAAAATCTAGCGAACTATGCACTACACTGATAATTTTAGTCTGATCTTAATCTATATATTAAAAAATATATAAATAAAAAAAAAATCATCATTTAAAAAGTTCATTTCTTGTAACCCATACCATGCTATGCTATTTACAATAAGGTATTATTAATCACTTGTGTAATTTTCTGTGCTGCAAACGCAAGTGGGCGGTTGTCCTAAAAATTTTACTCCTACAAGGATTTTTGACATTGACAGATGGGCGCCTACAAGTTTTAAGGGTTACATTTGAGCAAAAATTTCCTAACTACCGACAGACGTCCACGTTGTAACTCCAAGCCATTGAAACTTATGACCCGAGTTCTCGTGATAATTATACACTATTTAAAGTGAATTAAGCACGTCGTAATATCGTGTGATATTTTTATGGTATTTCGAAATTACGCAAATGGCAACACTATCTCGTGCCGCTCCCTCATTGGTCAAAATATGACGCTGTCAAGATGACATTGATAGTTCACATATCCAAATGCTACAAAATCTTTGTAGAAGAAGCGCATGGTAACGAAACATAACATTGTTTAAGTAATTTGATTAACGTATTCAAACATGTTGATGCTTTGACCTAAAAAGTTATAGGCCTTGTGGGTATAAGTCAAACTAAATTATGATAGCGCCCTTCTGTGAATGTCGAAAAAGTTTCAAAGAATCCTTGTAATCTGTTTGTAATTTCCTACGCCCATGTAGTATGTTTCCAAGAAATCTTTCTTTTGAAATATTATTTCTACAAACATATTTAAGTAATTAAAAACATAATTACATGGGTCTTAATTTTTTATTATATTGCTTACACAAAATGCTTATGTTCCAATAATTCTAGCCGTAAGTGTATATCGGCCGTATGAGGTAATATGGTATCGTACTTTGAGGCACAAATCAATAAGCTTTTGTCGAATCAAAATTTGTACAAAGGCGTTTCTAAACGAACATAGCGGCGAACGTCCGCCATTTTGAATTTCAAGTATTATCACAAAATTTATTTTGACGGGATAATTCTTTTACCAGTTAAATTAATAAATAATATAATTGAAGGTAGTTTTCTTGGAAAATTCAAGGTCGATATAAATTATATCGTAAGTCCTTTAAAAAAAGATAGAAATATTTTCATGTAATGTTTGTCTACGATAATAAGGTATGTAATTATTCTAGCGATATGATTATATTTATCACTTTGTGTAACGTGCTATTGTTGAATATTTCATTTCAAACAAACATATTAACAAAAAATCATCAAAATCATTACGAATCAGTTATTTTGCAAAAAATTAAAAGATAAAACTATATTTTGGATCTGAATTGAAACGAAGTCTGTCTGTTTAGATCTTGTGGCTAATAAATCTAGAAAACCTAGATACAAGCCGATAAGTTTAAAACTCCACTTGGTATTCATCACCGAAGCGGAGAATTCATACTGTTAGGTTATAAAAGCCAAAATTATAAATATTTTTCAGTACTATACTAAAAACATAACTAGAATAATAACTCAAACCTTTAAAATTAATTTCGGAAGAAGTTTGATAATTTTCTCTCCAAGTCAAAAGTTAACCTTTTGTCCGGCGAGGTAAGACATAGTACAGTGACGCGATAGGCCCATCACCGTATTCGCGCGTGTCACTGCCAGATGCCGGCGTAGTTGCCGATGAGTGGTGCGGGCAGGGGACCACCGGCGGTGAATATCCGCGTGCCACTGTCGTCATAGCAGTGCGTGTAGATGGCGGGCACGTATTTAACCTGGTTGTACCCGTCTGCTTCTTCGTCGGGGAACTAACGGGAAATAAGAAAAAAAATAGTACAAAACCTTTTTCTAATTATAATTATGCACATATCTAACGCAACTTACCACATATCCTCTGGAAGCTTTGAGAGTCACTGTTTTCGAAGAGTGAATGTTGCTTTCCAGATATTTTCCCGCTCTTACGTCATAGAACATCAACAGGCCTGTAAAATATATAAAAAATGTTTTACATATGTAAATTCGAGCATTAGAAACATGTTCCGCAATTGTTGCAGCGTGCATTAGAAACATGTTCCGCAAGTGTTGCAGCATGCATTAGAAACATGTTCCGCAAGTGTGGCAGCGTGCATTAGAAACATGTTCCGCAAGTGTTGCAGCATGCATTAGAAACATGTTCCGCAAGTGTTGCAGCGTGCATTAGAAACATGTTCCGCAAGTGATGCAGCGTGCATTAGAAACCGCAAAACCGTTCCGCAAGCATTACCGAGACCGGTCCCGATGGTGAGCATATCTCCGCGGAAGCTGGCGGACCGGATGCCGCAGCCGTTGTACCGCGATGTGATCTTCTTGATGGACTGGAGTGTGCGGCAGTCCAGTAGTAACGTGTACGATTTGCAACCGATTGCGTACATTCCGCTCTCCTGAAACAAAACAAGAGATCATAGTAACTATGGAACATATTAAGCATATTTTTTCTCCTACTCTCATTTCATGCTGCCAAGCTTTCCGTGGATACTCTTGGATCGGTTTGGGAATTCCTGGTGGATATACCTGTGTGGCGAGACAGACGAGGTCCTGGCAGGAGGGCAGCTTGCGCGAGAGCGTTTGCCGGAATGTCTCCGCGTTGAACACGTGGATGTAGCCGTTGAGTGTTAACGCCGCGATCTCCCGCCACCGTTGGTTGAATGTCAGCGCGCGGATCTTTTGACCTTAAACCGCAAAATCACATATTTACAAGGATATACAAATAAGTATTTGAACTTTTATTCACGTACAATGCAGCCAATGTTTAAATATCATTAAATAGTGAAGAATCGGCCTCCTGAATTCGCTGAGTTGGGAAGCGATCACTGCCCATATACATCCGCAATCACACATGCGTCGCCTACCTTTAATCGATGCAGGAAGATACACAGAAAGAGGACATTTTCCCTTCTTATGCGTCCTCTCTCCGTTAAATTCTCTTCCCTAATGTCTGAAAGTGTGCTAGATGTAGGGATGCAGCAGGTAAATGTATGGTTGCTTACCGGCGCGGCACTCTCTAACGGCGAGGGGTGCGACGTAGTCGTGGTGCGGGGGTGTGAGGGGCGCGGCGGGGGGCGCACGCCACAGCGCCAGCCGCGAGTCCCGCGACCCGCTCACCACGAACTCGTCGTCCAGCCAGCACACGTCCAGGATCTTACATACGTCACAAAACAAGTCAAGGCCAAAATTCGACAAAATAGTGAAACTACCACAGTGGCAAAATAACGTACAGAAAGAGGATATGTCCTCTTCCGACGCGTCCTCTCCTTCCATCGCTTAATTACAAGAAAAGGATGGCAAGGAAAAGAGGACCAAGAGGCACTGGAAGTCTCTATACTAAAATCCAAAGTTTTAATATCTACAGCAATTATTTTAGTTCTTGTCAATGTCAACTTTTAATAAATACTGTCCTGTAAAGTAAAAAAGATGTCTTCATATAGATATATGACGTACGTACCCAGTCTTTGTGCGCCTCGCCCACACAGACAGGGTCTAATGTGGGCAGGCTGTATATGGCCAGCTCGCACGAGTTGCGCGCGCCCGTCGCCAGCAATGTTCTGCAATTGCACAACGTTCATACACTACATTAAAGTTTGCCATCACTAAAAAATACTTCTCAATTACCTTTACCAAGTTGTCGATTTATACAACTTTCAGAAAATAAACCTTTTACTTGGTAATTTTCCATTTTAAAAATATATATCAAGTTTTGCTTGTGATTGCACTTTTTTCTTAAACGGTATGACATGGTATGAGGTACACATGATATGTAGTGAATAGTACAATTGGTATGTGGTGAGTGTTACACATGATATGTTTTGAGTGTTACACATGGTATGTGGAGAGTGTTACACAAGGTATTTGGTGAGTAGTGCACATAGTATGTGATGACTGTTGGGATGGGATGTATACCTGGAGGGGTTGATTTGTAGCGCATGTATGCCGGTCTGGTGCTCAGCGCCGGGCCAGGGTGCGCGCGGCCGCAGCGTGGGGATGGCGTCTAACGACCGCGACCGTACGTCGTATACCATTAACTGAAGAATAAATCATAAAAACTATACATTAAATAAATATTAATACTATTATTCGCTGGCAAACTACCAAAGGAATCTCTTATAGTCGTTTCACTAACAGAAATCAACATAAAGGCAAGATTTGGTTAATTATCAAATGATTCATGAATGTGGCCATATCGAAACACTTTAATTTATTGTATTTGCTATTCAAACGCTGTTTGTTTTCAATTTATAACATTGATCTTATACTACTAATTTCCTATTTGAAACAAAATATCTAAAATAAAAAAAAATGTAAATCAAATTAATTTCTGTGATTCTCCATACATATAAGTATTAATAATGACATATAATATATTAATATTGTATATTATACCTTATTGCATTTAGTCCCGAAGACAACCTGCCTGTCTGATAGCCATTGTGAGCAGAACACCTTGTTCATGTTGCCTAAACTGACAGGTGTCTCACGGAACATGTCGTGTGTCAGCATATGCCGCGTCGCGTACGATGGATCGACGGACCGGGGCTGATTGATATCATAAAAATAATTATCATAATTAACCTAATGTCATTATTTCAATTGGTAAAGAAAGCCTTTAACATTAACTGTGGGTTTCTTCAACCAATAACCCTGTTTAAAACATGTTATCTCCTCTATATTGTCAAAGATAAATTAATAAACGATATGTTTTATACAGAAACTATGATCTCAGCAGGCAACGCTTAAAATGTTACTAAGAAAATCTTACATTTATATATTTATATTTTGTTTAAATATTTTAGGAAACTTATTGCCTAAATTTTTTATTGTATAATTTTATGAGATGGCAATTTATTACCTTTGATTATAAAGTTTAATAGAAAGGTAACTTTTACACTATACTTAGAAAACAAAAAATGAACTGTCTATTTATACAACTTTCATTATGTTTATAAGTATTTGTCAAGTTAATATTTTAAATAACTTACCTCAGGTGCCTGTATTTCTCTTGATCGAACATAATCAACAAAGTTGTACGACGTGGAGAGTATGCGGTGCTGCTGCGCTGGAGTCTCCTCCTCACTGTCACTGTCTGAGTAGCACACAAAGTCTTCTGGTTTGTCCGGCTTGCTCTGCTGTTGTAATCTGAAATATTTTTGAACTTAGTAATAAAAAAAGTGATAACAATTAGATCTTTATATCATCATCAGCTCACAATATGTCTCCACTGAGGGGCTCAGAGCCTACCCTAAGTTAAGGGTGATCTACATATAAAACGTATACCACCACCACACAGAAGACAGGCGTGAAGTGGAAGCAATTCCACGTTTCGTCTGATGAGTGTGCGTCCCGGAGGCCTAATTTAGTCCTCTTTCCCTTCCCACCCTTTTTCTTAGAAGGAAAGGATGGGAAGTGGAAGTGGACTTTCCGGATGAGAGGATGCATGGGAAGGGGAAATATTTTCTTTCTGTGCATCCTCTCCTCCGTCGATTAAAGGTAGCCAATGCATATGTGATTGCGTACGTCTATGGGCAACGGTCAATTCGCTATTTCAGCGATTTCGGGTGGCCGATTGCTCGTTTGCCACCTTTTGATATAAAAAAAATATATATTTAGTGCACAGCTTAAAGTATATGGTTGATTGATTACCAGGGCACTGGACAGAATGAGCGCCACAGGTCTGCGAATTACACAGTTTCAATAACCTTGTTAATGCAATTATTCCATTTATACATATTGTTCATGTTACTTAATTTAAAACAATTTTGTTATTTCAGTTTAAATGAAAAATATATTGTAAATATGATTCAGTATTTACTAAACTTAGTCGTAACAAACAAATCATTATAGACAAGAAATTTGAGATAGTAATTCCTTATGGTCATAAATTAAAAACATAATAATAGCTACAATGCAAAAATAAATAACTTAATCTGTCACTAAAGATAAATTTAATACCAAAAGATATGAAAAAAGGTTACATTGAAAGGATTTACAGATAAAATATTTAGAATTGCTACAAAATATTACTTTACATTATGTGTATTTGGCGAGTAAAGTTAATGCCAACTATGAACAATTTCATCAATTTAGTGACACTGAATGTGTTCATAAAACTTCCCGTTTTTAGGAAAAAATGACTATTATGTATAATGCTTAGTTTGAGATAATTTTAAGGGCATCTAAGGACAATAAGTTTGATAGCTTTTATCATTTGTTATCAGTATATTTACCATATTTTGTTAGTTATTAAATAAAGATTACAACATTGTATTTATAGTAAAGTACTTTCTACAAGTAGCTGCAACATTAGGTATAAATTGATAGTTAATAAATATATTCCCCCACTAGGAGGCTCCGAGCCTGCTAAAGTTTTGACTAGGACATAGTTAACTACATTGACCCAGTGTAAATTGGTTGAATTCATACATATCTTTGAAATTTAACGGAGGTATGTGCATATTGCATCAAATTATTTTGCTTTACCGTAAGAAAATCAGAGAAATGTACATATGAAATTTGAAAATCGAAAATCTCATGGATACATGACAGAGATTGATTGTGGATGTTTAGATTTGAGTGCAGTCCATTCAATCACTTTACAACTGCGTCAACGACGTGCTTTTATACTATTGAGCTATTAATTGGCGACATAAGTTTGAATCACATAATATATGTTTAAATTACTGCATTGTATAGTTTAAAATTTATGTTATACTTAGTTCAATCTTAAACTAAATACATGGAATTAAAAAAAGTAACGTGTTAAATGTCACACATAGAAGAAGGTAAATATTTATAAAATTTTACCTCAAGGCCCTAGCTTTATTTCTTCTTTCCTTAATTCTATTTGGTAAATAGCATGAAGGATATCTTCCTTCGACGGCACGTCGTACCGTCTGCGCCATTTTTCATACGCAGCACTAAAACTAGCACAAGAATTTACAAATAAAACACGTACAACTGGTCACTTTCGTTTTGTTCGACTGTAAATGGATCCATAACGGGAAGACATATAGTACCAGTTTCACCATTAAATCACTCCACAAACAAACCCTTAATGGGTCAACAGAGTAATTATTTCAAATTTTGTAAACACTTAATACAAAAGTAAACAACATCTAAACACTTTACAGTGTAAATTTCGTCTTTAGATTCCAATTTATTGAACAATCACAATGACGGAAAGCTGGCTGTCTGTCAGCAATTCGCAATGTTGCCACTGAGAAAATAAAAACTGGCAACTTGCCAGTTTTTAAAAGGTACAGATTGATAATTAGACATTTTAAATCTTTTTAATCTTATTCGGTAACCATAATCTTTATTAAAAAGTACACTTAAATAGAATGATTGTATAAACGCATTTTTTCTTAAAGTTAAGTTGTTCATAGGATCTCTGTCATTGGGTCACTTATTGATACACGCGTTCTAATAGGTACTATGATTTTATTCCATTGGGGAAAAGTGGCAGCTTAGCTTGGTAAGGTACCAGGGATGGCGACACCATATGATCAAAAAAAAATCTCACCTTTAAAACTCAACAAAGTCACCAATCTTCAAACAAAAGTAGATTAATTTATTTAGCGTTTGATGCTTAGCGAACGACAAGAAAAGTACCAATTATCCACAAATGAGAAATAAGTAGGAATTCAGCAAGTATCTTATTTGCTCCTCTACGCTAAGCTTATAATCGATCACTCAGAAAGCAGGATGTAGTTTAATTGGTTCACCAGCTTCGGAACGGAAGTAGTAGGAAATCGTGTTACGAACCTTTAGTGCAATTTGTTAGCAACAGTGAAAGGTTGATTACTAATGATAATAAAATGTTACATTAAATTAATTGAACAGAGTATTTACAACCACATTTTCCTAATCACTTGACATGCAAATACAACAAAGTTTAATCTCAAATTAAACATCGTTGCCAATTGCGGCGTTTAACCACAAACAGTAACCAGTGATTTTTAAATTATAACATATAGTAAAGTTTAATGATTTTGATTGATTGAGCGTCTCAAGATCCCAAACATTTTTTTAAGATCCAAGATTATTTTTGTGATGGGATTCGCCTATTTTTGATAAATTGATAATTAAATCGTAGCTATATTTCCTATCGCTCCCCGTAAACGCCGCTTTTAACCGAGTTAGGCAACTTCCTGTCTGCTTGCCAATTACATTTTGCTTTATACAGATAATTTTTAAGGTGTTCCTTTAGTTTATTTACTTTTTATTTTTAAATCGATTGTAAATAACTATCCAGATAAAACACTATGGAATTTTAATAGCATCGTATTCAGTTAAAAATTTGCTATTATCTTTCAAAGGTTACCCTTGAACTTCACCCCAAATTAAAGAAAAGAGTTCGTATACGACAAAGCGTGAGAAAAATATCAGGTGTTCAGAAGCACTTGAGAATGTTTGTCAAAGACCGGGATATCGGGTCTCCACTCAGCAGCACAAACATTTAGGGATAAGAGGTCACGTCAATTTGATATGAGATAAATATGTGTATTTAGTGTATATAATATTTACGAAAATGAAAAAATAACTAAGACACTATTTAATATTTATGGAATATTTTTTTTCTCGCATGTAGTGTTAGGCAAGGAGGTTTTCTATTTGTCTATACTTTAGGTGTTCCGATTTTGAAATGTTGTTTTTTTAATGCAGTGAAAGGAAGAAAGGTTTTAATTGCAGTGTTCCATTTTTTTATTATTTTTATAACTGAATCATCTAAAGGTATTCAACTTGTCAGCTTTTATTTGTAGGGTGAGTCATAATATATGCGACTTGACGGGCGGAGTTACACGCGCTTCTATCTCCCCGGAGAATAGCAATGCATACGCAAAATATTGAATTTCCTACCCGATTACAGTAACTGTACAATGTCGACCGACTAACTGGAATAGGATCGTAAGAGTAGAAAATTAGTTTTCGTAATATATCTAGTATTTATTTTTACATTACTAGCTAATCGACCGGGATTCTCACGAGTGGATATATTTTTTAAACATAACAGTATGTTGGTATTACTAATTACATTATCCATCCGGCATTTTAATGGTGAACGAATTTTTGAAATCGGTTATAAACTTTATTTGCTACGAGATAATTTGTTTAATTTAATAGTAACTTTTACTTCCTCTTTTGGATTATTATCTAGGTATTAGAGAGGAATTGGCTCTAGTCCGGTTATCCGTTTGCAGTTGGCTCCCAGCCGCGCCTCATTGTCTCCGAATCGCATCGACTCTTGCAGTGTTCCTGCCAACCTTCTAGTATTTGTAACATTGCACTTTTTATAAAGAGCACCTTTTTAAAATATTGCTATAAAGAATTTATACAAGTTTCAAAAACTTTACTTATAAAAGGAACAACGTAAAGTCAGCAAAAACATCCTTTGCACGAATAGGCCGACCGGCGGAATTCCACAACATGTATTGTGAATTAGAAGCCTAATTTCAGTTCTCTTTCCCTACCCACCGTTTTCTTTAATCAAAGGTTGGAAAATGTGGTTTTAGCACAGGAGAGGACGCATAAGAAGAGGAAATATCCTCTTTCTATGCGTCCTCTTCTATGACGATTAAAGGTAGGCCACGCTTTCGCATGCAGATGTCTATGGGCAACGATAGCTTCGCTATTTTGCCGAATTCCGGGGGCAGTTTGTTCGATAAAGGCAAGTATAGTTTCTGCTTCTTTCCTTCACAGTTAATTAACATTTCTATCGAGATTTAACTCAACTTCGCATAGTTTTCGTCCTTGAATTCTTAGTATGTTGAGAACATAATTAGTTTAACGAAAGCCTCGGAATTGCCGCGGGGGATACGGTTGAAACTTCTGACCCGGATATGTTATGTACCGCATCGCTCAATCTAGATCTAGTTAATTCTAGTCTGGAATTCTCAGATTTAGCTTCGTTTCAGCTTAATTAATTTATATAAGATTTGTAGAGTTTGTTTAAGAAGAATAAATGGCGATTTGTACGTTTTGGATATTTGATTTTAGTGTAATTATTTTTTTTTCATATTTTTCGATTATTTAAAGAAAGCTTAACTATTTAAATTCTTTAAAAATATAAAATAAACGTTCATACCTTATGTTTACCATCAAATAAAGAATTTAAACAATTGTAACTTCATTTTGAGATTTGCTTGCTTAATAGTACAACTAAAGTTGTATGTCATGTCATAACTGCTAACAATAAGTCCACATTAAGGGTTTCCAAGCCTACCCTAAGTCAGTTACTAGGCCATAGACAACCACGCTGACACAGTACGGATGTCTTCACACATAACTTAGAATTTCTGCATCACGATGTTTTTCTTCACCCTAAGAAGATCGGATAAATGTACATTTGTTTATCGAAAATGGGAAAACACATTGGTACATGACGTGATTCGAACTCAGGAGCTGCAGATTACAAATCAAGTTCTTAACCTCAGAGCCACCGATGCACAATAACTATGTAGAAGTATTTATTCATACGAGGATGTATGCTCGTGGCCTATGACACAGAGTAAGTGAACTCCATACAAGCTCATTCCGTACGATTTCACAGTCCCGATAATCTGATTATAAAACAGTCGTGTAACACGATTTTGTATGACTCGGTACTTGTACGGTTTTTATTCCTTTTTATATCTTGTTGGAAATAACGTACTCAGAGAGTTTTGGTGATCATATAGGAGTATCCTTAGTGTAGTTAGTATCACTGAGCGATTTCCAGTGTGACAGGTTATTGAACTTTGGTCTGTTAGAGGGCCTAGCATGAAAATTTGTGAGATTTACTCGTAACATCATCGATAAAATTTATACATATTAGATTTATACAGCGCCTCTATCGGACGGAAAGTACAACGGCAAATCTCATAAAAATGTTTCAATGTTATGTCAATATATTACTAAAATGCATATCGCAAATATTCGTGGTAGACTTCTCAGTGTTCAGTTTTTTAATATATTATACTAGCTGTTGCCTGCGATTTCGTCCGTGTGGAAGAAAAAAAAATAAGTCTATGTGTTATTTCAGACTGTGTTCTACATCTTTGCCAAATTTCATCCGGAGTTCCGGAGATACCTTCCAACAAACCACTTATTTTACTAATATTATTATATAAATGTGAATGTTTTGATGGATGGATGTTTGTTAGAAGGTATCTCCAGAACGGTTTCGTGGATCTCGCAGAAAGGCATCGATAAAGAATAGCCTTGAAGGACACATAGGCTATTAATAAAACTTTTTTTTTAATTAGGACGGAATCCCGGGCAAAACGCTTGTTGAAAATAAATTAATTTACATTCTAAACAAATGTTTATATTGTGTCGCTGTGTTTTAGTTTGTCTCTGGAATCAATTACAGCGCGAGTGCGCGGCAAGCCGACGCGTGACTGGACAACGACGGAGCGGATTATCCTATATTGCGGAGTTAGTACTGATGCAATTTTGATACTACCTGAATGTATTTAACAGTAGATTTCCCCTGCCCTAACACTTGTATTAATACAATATATTGTCTCTGTTTTCACAAATCGGTGCACTTGACTTGGTTTGAATTCCGCCACGATGTTCTTACGGCGAAGGAAAACATCGTGATGCTGCACATATGTGCGACTTTTAAAGATTTGTGTGAAGTCAGTCCACACTGGGCCAGCGTGGTTTACTGTGGCCTCGTCACCTCTGATTAAGGTAGGCTCCGAGCCGCTCTATGGAGACATATAGTGAGCTGATGATGATGCCGTCTCTGTTTTATCTTAGATAATGTAAAGGACGACAATGTGGACACAAATGTCAGAATAATGGAGTAATATAAATACTAAACAGTTGCTTAAAGTATTTAAGTTGTTTCTTCATATATCTCGATTTTGCAGGAGATATATTAATAATTAAAGTTCACTCTTTCGTTATCTTATATATAAAATTCTCGTGTCACAATTTTCGCTCCCATACTCCTACGAAACGGCTTGACCGATTCTCATGAAATTTTGTGAGCATATTCAGTAGGTCTGAGAATCGGCCAACATCTATTTTTAATCCTGCGCGGACAGAGTCGCGGGCGACCGCTAGATTTTGTTATAAATGTGGTTGAAGTTGCATTACAGTTCCACTCTGTGTCGCATCAAAAATACAAAACAAAACTCTATGTGAAAATCAGTGTACAATATGTAAATTTTCATATTAAACTAAAATTTTATAATTAACACA